ACCGTCATGGCGCGGATTTCGTCGTCAGTATAGGCAGCCATGGCGTCGCGAAAACAAGGATAAGAACGAGTCAAAGCACAACGGCGGCGAGGAGCGAATAGACTCACCAACTGTGAAACACTACGATGAAACACAATGATCTGACAAGAGTGATCCGCTCACAGAACGAATCGAAATATAATACACACTACGAGCAAGGAAGAATGATTGTCGCAGAGAACGGATCGAAAATATATAGCAGAGCAAACTCTAGCAAGACATGCAACGATGCATGCCACCCACGTTAAGCTACGAGCAAGCGTCATCATAACGCAGCCACACGCCTTCCACATCGGAGGCGAGCGACACGCATGAATGCCAAACTTTAGTATGACACGTTGAGTGCCTACGACGCATGCCGCCTACGTTGAGCGTCGCGCATGAATGAATGTCGCGTTGAGTGTCACGTTGTATGACACATAGAATGCCATGATGCATAGAGTACCATGTGAGCACGTACACGTTGAGCGTCGCGCATGAATGAATGTCGCGTTGAGTGTCACGTTGTATGACACATAGAATGCCATGATGCATAGAGTACCATGTGAGCACGTACAGCGCACGTTCATAGCAGCATAGTTGAGTGGTAGCACGAAGCAGCCGCGTGCACCCATTAATCTGCATTATTACTATAATGCTACACACACACACACACACACACACACACACACACACACACACACACACACACACACACACACACACACACACACACACACACACACACACACACACACACACACACACACACACACACACACACACACACACACACACACACACACACACACACACACACACACACACACACACACACACACACACACACACACACACACACACACACACACACACACACACACACACACACACACACACACACACACACACACACACACACACACACACACACACACACACACACACACACACACACACACACACACACACACACACACACACACACACACACACACACACACACACACACACACACACACACACACACACACACACACACACACACACACACACACACACACACACACACACACACACACACACACACACACACACACACACACACACACACACACACACACACACACACACACACACACACACACACACACACACACACACACACACACACACACACACACACACACACACACACACACACACACACACACACACACACACACACACACACACACACACACACACACACACACACACACACACACACACACACACACACACACACACACACACACACACACACACACACACACACACACACACACACACACACACACACACACACACACACACACACACACACACACACACACACACACACACACACACACACACACACACACACACACACACACACACACACACACACACACACACACACACACACACACACACACACACACACACACACACACACACACACACACACACACACACACACACACACACACACACACACACACACACACACACACACACACACACACACACACACACACACACACACACACACACACACACACACACACACACACACACACACACACACACACACACACACACACACACACACACACACACACACACACACACACACACACACACACACACACACACACACACACACACACACACACACACACACACACACACACACACACACACACACACACACACACACACACACACACACACACACACACACACACACACACACACACACACACACACACACACACACACACACACACACACACACACACACACACACACACACACACACACACACACACACACACACACACACACACACACACACACACACACACACACACACACACACACACACACACACACACACACACACACACACACACACACACACACACACACACACACACACACACACACACACACACACACACACAAAAACACACACACACACACACACACACACCTTGACCTTTGACCTTTGACGCCCATCGCCGGAGGCGATGATAGCAATGCTACGGCAGAAGCCATAGCAACTTGTGCTGGGATTACACCATTCAACAGCTTGCAAGGCTGAAGAATTGACCGTCACTATTCAGCCTGGTCTACACCATACAGCTATTTGGAGTGACATTTTCTGGCCAGTGAATCCCTTTTTTGGTCTTTTCATTTTTTTCATTTTTTTTTTCTTTTCTTTTTTCCCCACACACACACACACACACACACACACACACACACACACACACACACACACACACACACACACACACACACACACACACACACACACACACACACACACACACACACACACACACACACACACACACACACACACACACACACACACACACACACACACACACACACACACACACACACACACACACACACACACACACACACACACACACACACACACACACACACACACACACACACACACACACACACACACACACACACACACACACACACACACACACACACACACACACACACACACACACACACACACACACACACACACACACACACACACACACACACACACACACACACACACACACACACACACACACACACACACACACACACACACACACACACACACACACACACACACACACACACACACACACACACACACACACACACACACACACACACACACACACACACACACACACACACACACACACACACACACACACACACACACACACACACACACACACACACACACACACACACACACACACACACACACACACACACACACACACACACACACACACACACACACACACACACACACACACACACACACACACACACACACACACACACACACACACACACACACACACACACACACACACACACACACACACACACACACACACACACACACACACACACACACACACACACACACACACACACACACACACACACACACACACACACACACACACACACACACACACACACACACACACACACACACACACACACACACACACACACACACACACACACACACACACACACACACACACACACACACACACACACACACACACACACACACACACACACACACACACACACACACACACACACACACACACACACACACACACACACACACACACACACACACACACACACACACACACACACACACACACACACACACACACACACACACACACACACACACACACACACACACACACACACACACACACACACACACACACACACACACACACACACACACACACACACACACACACACACACACACACACACACACACACACACACACACACACACACACACACACACACACACACACACACACACACACACACACACACACACACACACACACACACACACACACACACACACACACACACACACACACACACACACACACACACACACACACACAAAAACACACACACACACACACACAAAAACACACACACACACACAAAAACACACACACACACACACACACACACACACACACACACACACACACACACACACACACACACGTCACATCAAAGAAAACAAGCGGGTGTCATCGCACCGCATCAACAGGGATAGTAAATTCTGCACCTAGCCGGAGATAGCCAGCGTTTTAACCCTTTATTGGCTGGCCTATACATTGATCGAACACCGATGTTCGATGGGGTAGGCATTTTGAAATTATCGTAACTAGGTCAAATCTCGGTCTTTCGGAGAGATCGAAATATGTAGGTCGAAGAGAAAACTCTCAGCTGTCGCCTCGAACAATTTTCAAAGCGATACAATAAGCGGTTCTTGAGTTATAGCACTCGTAATGTTGGTCCCGGGAAATTTGCGCTCAGAGGGCGATGCGTGGGTCAACGGCCGGGATTTTTCCTGCTTACGTCACCTGTTGACAAGACTACACCGATTCAACTACAAAAGCAGGTTCCCGGGAGTCTCTACGAAATTTTTTGAGTTTGATACGAGCAACAGGAGTGAAATGGTGGATAGAGATTGATCTCGAGCGTGAGCCCAGCGCTGGTGGGCCTTCTCTGGCTTGCAGCGATGGGCCAGTGCATCCCGTGGAGTCGAGTGTACGCTCATTGCGCTCCTCTCGCCAAGGCCTTTCCAGGATGCCCAAGATCGTGGAATTTGTCCAATGCAAACTAAAGTTACGTCCAATTTAGTTACAGGTTTGGCGATTGCGTGGGCTTCTTTGTACTTTAATCGGCCAATAAAGGGTTAAGGAAGACACAAAGATATCACTAGTTTCGTTTCACCCCCTACGCGAACTTCAAAATAATGCTCCGGTGGGCCCATGCTTGATACGCTTGCAAGTTGCAACAACAAAAGCCACCCCATAAACGTTGCAACATCTGTGACCAGACTTAGCACTGCAATGTCTCTAGTCACGGTTAATGATGGCCTAAGGGTCTGGCGGAATATAGCAAATTGCGGCACGGTCGCAGTGCTGTAGGAATGATGCATGTCAGCATTGAACTCGGAAAAAGCAGAGTACACCCACGACTGTGCCGCCTATATGAGTATGCAATTTTCCCTGCTTTGACGTCTTTGCCAAAGAAAATTGACCTACATTAGGCTACACGGCTACAACCACTCCTTGGTTTCTGTGACCACCGTTGCATTCAACTTTAGTTCAAAGCGAATGTCAGACCATGCAGTCAGGCTGCACGCAGTGATCAAGTTCTTAGATTGTCCTGGACTGGGACAATGGTGTGCACGCATGCTTGAGCAGTCTGGCGAGTACGCCCGTGTCTACTATTGGTAGTAAAGTCACAGTGCCGGTGTGAAACGCGCGTTCTGTAACTACACTGGCTCTTCTCTACTATAAACCAACAGTAGCAGTTATGATCACTTTGTTCTGCAGTAATCGGTCTTACCAGCCTTTGGGTCGACACAGCTGCTGGGCATCTAGATCAGCAAGAAGGAGATGGACACAAACAGTGATCATTTGCCGTGAATTTATGAACGGATATGTACCAAATATCATGTGCAACCTTGTGCATGTATTTCCTTATCTACATTCGTCAAGCTGTACCTACTCGTGTGTATCTATATAGGCTATAATGTACCACGTACACTGACAAACACCATATGAAGAACAGCCGCACAATGCTACCTGGCTACCTTCCTATCTACCAACTGTATAAAAAGAAATAGTCCACACTAGTGAAGTTATTTTTCGTTAGACTGAAGAGATTTGGGAACCATTTCATTTTGTTAGGCCGAGAAAGCGGACACATGGTATTTCTTGCCCAGCACAATACAGCATGTTCAGTGTACAGTACAGCATGCTTATGCAATACATCATGCTGTACTGCCGCACAAGCAGGCCTGTGCATGCTTGTACAGTACAGCATGATTTTTTAGTTAGGAGACGGTACACCTTGCTAGCTTGGAGTACCTAACGGAAAAGGTGAAATCTAAATTGTCAATTTTGTTGGCCTACTAAAAACAAGTATTTGGTACTTTTCAGTTCCTACCTGGCTCCCACCGTCTTACCCTTCTCCCTAATGGGGTACGGTAGTGGTATCAAGTCAGTACATCTACTCACCTACCCATTCATCAACCCATCCACCTACCCATCCACCAGCACACCCACCAAGCCCATTCACAAAACTGTGCGACAAAATATCCGGCATCGAACTATCCACCAAACTATCCACCAAGCCATCTATGAGCCACCACCACACCCACCAACCCATCCGCCAACCCACCAACTCTGCTCATCAACCAACACATCAACCAACACATCAACCAACACATCCATCAACCCACCTGCCTACGCATCTGCATTCAGACAAGCAAGTATTAAAGCTAGATATAACATATAAGTATGTACTAGTTCAAGGCCGTCACAGCTGGGGCAGCTGGGGCGGCCTCAGCCGCCCCACTTTTTTGGCAGTTTTTTGTCCTTGTTTTTTTAGCACACTGCAACAAAGCGCGATGATCGCAGCTCAGCGCAAACGTGGCAAATAATGAAGAATCCTTGTCCCCGACCCCCTTCCCCGATCCTCGATCCCCGTGGTTTGTTACAGAGCTATAAAAGAGTCTTTCATTGCAGTTACAAATAAAATGGCAAATGCCTGGAAATGCTTGCAATTGCTTCAATTTTCGAAATTTTTCCTGGGGGAGGTTAATGAACTCTTCTTGGTTTGTTGCAGAATCGAAGTCTTTCACTGAAATGGCACCAAATGCCCGGAAATGCTTGCAATTGGCTTTAATTTTTGACATGTTTACCGCGGAGAGCCCCCAGACCCCCTTGCATGGCCGCCACACCTCCAAAGTCGGTGCGACGGGCCTGCTAGTTATCAAGTTTAGGAACGCGTTAACTCTCTTCTAACAAGTTGCATTCATCTCACACCATACCACCTTGTAGTTGAACTCTTTCACTGTGACGTGCTCTTGTGCAGTGGAAATGAGCGATACCAGAGAACAAGGTGAAGTATGAAAAGAGCATCTGTTTGCCCCCCCCCCCCCCACACACACCCTCTATCCATGGACTTCAGTGTTAATCATGTAGCATAAGCAGTACGTTTTCAGCCAGGCCATTGTGGTTTCAACTGCTGTTGCATTGTGCACCAACTTCACTGGGAATGCTAGGCAAAGTCACCAATGTTTCAGTCAAGCACTTCAGTAGAATTTCAAGTATTATTCCAGTGAGTCACTGGCAAGTGGTACAGGCGGCACGGGTATCCCTGACATCTTTGGCCTAGGTTTGCGCTGCACTCATTATTGATCTGACCCTTCCAGCAGACACGTTGAAAGGAGACTGAGGTAGCTTAAGTATGTGATTTTGGTGTAGCGGCACGGGTGGGTCAGATAGGAAGCTGCTGTTAAAGTCGGTTTCAGCTCTTCATGTTTATCATAACCGCTGGTTGGCACTTCCATCTTCCTTGCCTGAAAATATGAAGCAATTGGATCATCAATTCGACCCATCCAACAGGCACGTTGTAAGCACTTGTACTGGTCGCAGAAGTAGGTGACTTCGGCATAGCCACACAAGTGGAATATCTTCTTTGCCTGCAAAGAGGAAGGTATTGGTAATGGGATCAGTTCGACCCATCCAACAGACATTTTCAGTTTGTATGTCATGATAAGCCGCAAAAGCGCGCAATTTTTGGTATAGTGACACAAGTGGATCATCTCCTTTGGCAAGCTATTAGTAATCGGATCATCAATTCGACCCATCCAACAGACACTTTGAAAGCATGGGTCGTAAAAAGTGGGTGACTTTGGCATAGCGACACATGTATCTACATGTCCATGTTACACGTAGCATTCAGTTGTCATAGTGATGTGCAAGGTGGTGGCTAAATCAGTTGATTCAGCTTTTTTCAGCAACCGGCCATGGTGAGTTGACTGTACTCAAGTACACCGGACTCACGCAATAGACGAGCTGAAAGAAAGGATCACAACAGTGCGTGCTCTGGGATTCACAGCACCTGTGGGGGTCAGACCGGCATTGGTCGGTGAGAAGGAAGACATCCAGTTGGCTGGACAGGTTGCATGTGTGACTGGTCAGATGGCACATGTATTCAAGATCATGCACCATGACTTGGCTTGACAGCCTCAGATTGGACCCACTTAACAGGCAGATAGAAAGGAGGGGCCGCAAAGGTCCGCAAACAGACAAACAGACAGACAGACAGACAGAGAGAGAGAGAGAGAGAGAGAGAGAGAGAGAGAGAGAGAGAGAGAGAGAGAGAGAGAGAGAGAGAGAGAGAGAGAGAGAGAGAGAGAGAGAGAGAGAGAGAGAGAGAGAGAGAGAGAGAGAGAGAGAGAGAGAGAGAGAGAGAGAGACGGGCAGACATACAGAAGCAGAGGAGGAGAGAGAAAGAAGTGACTACTGAGGAAGAGGACTGGACAACACGAGCAGTTCCAAAAGACTTACTGATGACGGCAGCAACCATTTTCTTCTTGACGTGTGGATGAGTGGCAAGAGCGTTCTCGTAGTAGTGCAATGTACTGTACAAGAACAGCACAGGCTGGTCTGTGAGTAACAACATTCAGAACATACAGCACAGGCTGGTCTGTGAGTAACAACATTCAGTACATACATGTACTATGAGAGTTTGAGTACAGTAACACACCCAAACCAGACCCATATGAATGTGTAGTACACATGACCAGTGTATCAGAACGCACGTATTCGCCGCATGCACACACGCATGCACACACGCATGCATGCACGCACACGCGCCGGCCACCAACAAGCGCTGCACAGCGTTACACGATGTGCTCGAGGGCATTATACGAGTGCAGAAACAAAAGGAAGAGGGCCGTGCGGGCACCGCACACTTCATAACAAGATAATGATGCTCCCAGAGCACACCGGCAACATTGCAAGCAACATACCACAAGGCAATAGTCTTGTTGTTACCAAATTCTCTATATTCCACCATGCTGGAATTCCGTATCCAATGCTGTAACAGCAGCAGCAGCAGCAGCAGCAGCAGCAGCAGCAGCAGCAGCAGCAGCAGCAGCTCACACACTTCGACATGTCCCAGGCTCAGTGTGGTGGCGTGGATGCACGTCTGCAGTGAGAGAACTGAGTCATTGCTCACCATGAAACCGGTAGAGTTGTCCAAGATGGTCCAGTATGGTGATGAGCGACTTCTCGATGCCAGTCACTGACAGCATTTCCATCATGCGATGAATCAGTAGATCAAACACCTGGGCCAAGCCAACAACAGCAACCATAGAAAAATAGTATAAAACATCATCAGTAGACCATTTGCACACTACACTGGACAGTGTACAAGTGCACAGCACATTGGACAGTGGTGGGGTGCTACATGTACTGATAGTTCACAGATCAGGCTGATGGTTCAGTTAAACTGCCCAATCAGGGGGATGTGCACCTGTATGTTTGTTGTCTAATTGTTTCTCTTGTGTACATGCGTTCCTATTGCGGTACAGGAACTCTGTGCAGGACTCTACTAGAAGGTCAGGGTCTAAAGGTCAGAGTTTGACCTTTTGAACCCAGTTGTTGAAATGTTTAGCAGCACCCCGTTATAACATAATAATATGCAGGTCACACTTCATCTATAGGGGGTGTGACATGGAAGTGCACACTGTGAGGATATAGCGCAGTACATGAACAGTTTGACCAAGTGATACCCGAACCAATGTACACTTTCAGAATCACAGGCCATGATTGTGTGCGTGTGCTAGAGTGCTGCACGGCTATACGGATCCGAGTTTCACTTGCTGGCGGAACCGTACTCGCAACAACTCAACTGCACTTCATTTTACAGTGGTGATGGTGATGTCATGGTGATGGTTATGCTCGTGACAGAAACAAAAACATATAGTGTAATGCCAGTTGGTGGGACAGCAGCAGCAGCAGCAGCAGCAGCAGCAGCAGCAGCAGCAGCAGCAGCAGCAGCAGCAGCAGCAGCAGCAGCAGCAGCAGAGCAGCAGCAGAGCAGCAGCAGCAGCAGCAGCAGCAGCAGCAGCAGCAGCAGCAGCAGCAGCAGCAGCAGCAGCAGCAGCAGCAGGAGCAGAAGCAGCAGAAGCATCAGCAGCAGCAACCACAACAACCTCTGCATGTGTGCGGACCGACGGACATGATGCAAGTGCTGTCCGCGGCGGTGTTTGCATGTGTCTAAAATGACAAGTGCGGCACGTGTACATTCACTGTCGTGTTGATACTGTGCATTACTCACCGGTAGAAATCGCAAGCAGACATTACCTGTACATGGTGGGTGAAAGAGTGTACAGAGCAGCAAGCCAATATTCTTGTACACAATACACATATGTGTTGATCCCAGTTCCAGTCCCAGTCTCAACCCCAGTAGCAGTGGCAGTGGCAGAAGCAGGCTTTACTGTGCACGTTCAGAATGAACGATGACGGCACTTTACTCTGGCATGTGTGTGTGTGTGTGTGTGTGTGTGTGTGTGTGTGTGTGTGTGTGTGTGCGTCACGGTGTGTGTGTGTGTGTGTGTGTGTGTGTATGTGTATGTGTGTGTGTGTGTGGCCGACAGTGGGAACAGCGCATCTCTTCACAGGAACTGCGAGCACAGTGGGGTGATCCCACACCATTGTCACGCATGGTGCAGCAGAGACGGTTGGAGTGGCTTGGGCACCTGGCTCGTCTTGATGACACCAGAGTACCGAAGCAGTTGCTGTTTGCCTGTCTCCCTCAGTCTCGGCCATTCTGTGGACCTCGTCGTCGCTGGAAGGACACCATTCACACGGACCTATCCGTGGCTGGAGTGCGTAACTGGTTTGAGTTGGCAAGCGATCGTGGAGAGTGGCGTGGAGTGGTGACAGCAGCAGGTGAGGACAAGGAACCTGCCCCGAAGAGCATCGAGTGCCCAACCTGCAACCGTCTGTTCCGCCGTAGTTCCGACATGGCCCGGCACAAGTGTTCAGCAATCCGTCAGCTCCCGGTATCGAAGCAGCCTGGATCAGTACAGTGTCCAACATGCAACCGATGGCTACGTAGCAGAGGAGGCTTTGCGGTGCATAAGTGTCGGCTAGGCGATGCCGACCAGCCGCCGGCCCCTGCCCCTGCTCCTCTTGTTGTTCCGGGTGTAACTTGCACCAACTGTCAGCGTTCATTTAAATCGGCTGCGGGTCTCAAGCGTCACCGTTGTGGAACCTGTCCAAAGCGCCCTACTGTGGCTGAACGCCAACAATTCAAGTTTCACTGCCAAGTTTGCCACAACCGACGGTTCCGGAGGCGGCAAGATCTGGAACGCCACTTGGAGCATTGCCTTCCTCCCCCCTAACCTCTCTGACAGTACCTCCCATCTGGGAGCGGCGTGGCCAATCCTGGCAGTTGTCAATAGTAGTAGTAGTAGTAGTAGTAGTGTGTGTGTGTGTGTGTGTGTGTGTGTGTGTGTGCGCGCGTGTGTGCGTGTGTGTGTGTGTGCGCGTGTGCGTGCATGTGTGTGTGTGTGTGTGTGTGTGTGGTACATGGTGTATGTGTGTGTGTGTGTGTGTGTCCAGCTTTCATTGCGGCACTGACATGCTCCTGATATGCTCCAGCTCCTGATATGCTCCAGCTCCTGATATGCTCCAGCTCCTGATAAGCTCCAGCTCCTGATATGCTCCAGCTCCTGATATGCTCCAGCTCCTGATAAGCTCCAGCTCCTGATAAGCTCCAGCTCCTGATAAGCTCCAGCTCCTGATAAGCTCCAGCTCCTGATATGCTCCAGCTCCTGATAAGCTCCAGCTCCTGATAAGCTCCAGCTCCTGATAAGCTCCAGCTCCTGATAAGCTCCAGCTCCTGATAAGCTCCAGCTCCTGATAAGCTCCAGCTCCTGATAAGCTCCAGCTCCTGATAAGCTCCAGCTCCTGATAAGCTCCAGCTCCTGATAAGCTCCAGCTCCTGATAAGCTCCAGCTCCTGATAAGCTCCAGCTCCAGCTCCTGATAAGCTCCAGCTCCTGATAAGCTCCAGCTCCTGATAAGCTCCAGCTCCTGATAAGCTCCAGCTCCTGATAAGCTCCAGCTCCTGATAAGCTCCAGCTCCTGATAAGCTCCAGCTCCTGATATGCTCCAGCTCCTGATAAGCTCCAGCTCCTGATAAGCTCCAGCTCCTGATAAGCTCCAGCTCCTGATAAGCTCCAGCTCCTGATAAGCTCCAGCTCCTGATAAGCTCCAGCTCCTGATAAGCTCCAGCTCCTGATAAGCTCCAGCTCCTGATAAGCTCCAGCTCCTGATAAGCTCCAGCTCCTGATAAGCTCCAGCTCCTGATAAGCTCCAGCTCCTGATAAGCTCCAGCTCCTGATAAGCTCCAGCTCCTGATAAGCTCCAGCTCCTGATAAGCTCCAGCTCCTGGATACACCAACAAGCTAGGATACTATTCATGCTATTGAAAGGTTTTGCAAATTACTAGAAAGCGGGTTGGAACACACCACATGATGCCATCATGACTATATGAATGCACCATGACTGTGTGTGTGTAACTTGTGTGTGTGTGTGTAACTTGTGTGTGTGTGTGCGTGTATGTGTGTGTGTAAGTGTGTGTACGTGTGCGTACCTAAGTATGGCTGCAATGCTGGTTCTCCAGTCCGAATCTCTCCGACAGCACGTGCCAAGCCTTCAAAGCGTAAGTTCTCCGGAAACGTCTAAACGCAGATGCACACAAAAAGACCAGATATTTGTGAAGCAGAATGGTTCAGTGACAGAACGGATCCCAAACGATGTCTCCGATCGTGTAAGGGGATGGATGACTAGGACTTGAGGAGCATAAAGCCAGACTCAACTTCTCTGCAACATACTGGCATTACAGCCTTCTTACGTTTCCACCCAGCGGAGCTGGACACCCCTTCTACTCTCTCCCAGTCACAAGTGTCCTGTCAGACATGCCCGGCTGAACTTGTTCACTTCAACACAACTGCTGGGAAATGGGGAAAAGCCTGAACGGTAAAGAGAACTGATGGCTTCAGTCTTTCAGACCTGAAAAGCTGGGTTCAGTGAGGGGGGGGGGGGGGGCTGTAGCACAAGGGACACACCGGACAAGCAGACAGCTTCAAAAGTCAAGCAGGCCATCTCTTTGCGAAAGCACTTTAATAGTCAACCTCCGGTCCATTCCACTAATAGATTTGTATACGTACATGTCACAGTGCACACTGGGTCATCGCAAAAGAAGACGCAGGTAGCTTACCTGGAGGTACTCATGGTGCTCCACATAGCTATCTTCCGCAAGCCAATAGTAGGGCGATACCTGGCACAAAAGGACAGAACGAAAATTATCACAGACTTCAAATATGTGGCGTACGAAAATCCACTGATGAGAGTGACAAGAACGTCGATTTTGGTAAAACCCCCTTTTGAGACTTCGTTGTAGCGTGGTATGACTGTGGAACTGATATTATTATCTATTGCAGGCTTCATTACTACAGCTGGAGACCATGTGGTAACGGTGGGGACAGCAGTTGCCAAAGGAAATAGTGCCTTCAACTACAGTGTTATAGAGCGGATTATGTACAACGGGAATTGTGAAATTCACTCACAATACACGGCGGCGTAGGCACATGACCGTACTAAAACTGCTCATAAGATGGTATTGAAGCAAGAAATGTCTCATTTCTTGTTGGCTGACATCGCTGCTGTCCCAGCAGAAGAGGTTGATTGTTGTTGTTGTTGCTGTTGTTGCTGTTGTTGTTGTTGTTGTTGTTGTTGTTGTTGTTGTTGTTGTTGTTGTTGTTGTTGTTGTTGTTGTTGTTGTTGTTGCTGCTGTTGCTGTTGTTGCTGCTGCTGCTGCTGCTGCTGCTGTTGTTGTTGTTGTTGTTGTTGTTGTTGTTGTGTGTGTGTGTGTGTGTGTGTGTGTGTGTGTGCGTGCGTGCGTGTGTGTACGCGCGTGTGAGTGAGGTGTTTCAGGGGTGTGAGCATGTATGGTGTGGCTGCGAACAGGAATGAGTTAGAGAGTAAAAATGAATTAGGATATACTACCAGGTCACATGACACTGTCAGAAGATGTTTCTTGTCAGTACATGTGGCAATGAAAAATTTATTACGTGCATGGGTTCAATTGCGTGTGAAAACAAAACCAATGAGGGCCAGTCGCTACCATTAAGGCATACCGTTTTGACGAAGAAGTTCACACGTTTGCGGAATTCGTTGTTCTTCAGAAGGAGAAGCTGGACTATGAAAAACGCCTTGCGCGAGGCATTTGTGTCATAATTTCGCATCACCATGACAAGGACAAACTTGTCCAGAGGGAGAACGTCATACTTCCACACCATGTCACTGACTGCTGCCAGGCTCTAGAAAGTAAACAAAGAAGGAAAAACTATGAAAAGGCGACGTGGAGAAATCAATTTAACTACAGCGATTATGACAATCAATGCAGACATGGCCACACAGCATAATTATACACTCTACAACGTCGTTATGTTGTTTGGCCATGGCTGCGTTGATTATAGTCCTTTTAAAACTGCTCCACAAATTATTTAAATAATCGACGAGGAGACAAAATTCGTAATATTGAAATAAAGAATGTAACTGCGCTCATCAGCAGTCACAAAGCAACAGTGGAGTTATGATTCAGACGTTTTCTCGTGGCATTCGTCAGGAATCAATCACACACTGGAGTATAACTAGAACATAATCAAGCTATGTATACTCAAGTAGAAAAACAGTAAGTGTAACAAAAACCACAAAAAAGCAAATCATATTCTTAGCACTGCCGGCAGCGGAGAGGACATTAGAACAATAGGAGAATAAATTAGAAAAAGGGTAGAGAACGAAAACAGGGAAATGCCGCGTGATAAAATTCAGAAAAGAAAGTGCGTGAATGTAACGCACTCCTCTCGTTTGCGTAACCCAGTATTATGCACAGTGTTATGCATTCAGAAGGAGTATGTTACCGCACTCACACTTTTCACAATTAATTATCTTACTGTACTCACATTATTTCATCCAACATCCAACACGCACGCACGCAGTCACGCACGCACGCACACTGGCACACACGCACGCACACACACATGCACACACACGCACACGCACACACACACACACACACTACACAATACACACACACACACACACACTAGCACTAGCACATGCTCGTAGACCGGCATACATGCGATCAGGCGGATTCTCCTTAGAGAGTGTCCTTGGCGCAACCAACCTTTTCCAATTCCTCCAAGGCATTCTGGTTCTTTTGCGAGTGCACTGTGACAAGGTAGTCACAGAACGTGCGAATGTGATGGGAGATCTGCAGCGGCGTTATACTCTCGATCACACGCAAGTATACTGTCGTCAAACACCCCGTCTCCAGCAGCTGCTTCCACATCAGACTGAGATGGGCAACAGAAGGTCAGCGGGAATGAGCACAGACACATCCACATGTACGATTGTAGTACAGCAGCCGGGGCCATACAGGCACTATGCATGAGTTTACACATGCCTTAGTTCATTACTTCACTTTATGTAACTGATATAAATCCTACTATCATATCAGGATAGGCAAACTCCACTGTAGCCATGTATGCATTATTTTTCTCAATCCAAACACGCACCGGCACATGGTTTCTCCGCTGCAGATGTCACTTCAAGTTACTAGTAACCAAATTCTTGCACATGGCCCATGGTCAGGGTAAAACAGTAAACACTTCACTTAAGCCCTGAACACCTTCAAGAGTGTCTTCCCATCTCTGACTAGAAGTCAACCTGACCGGAGACCTTCCATCACTTTCTGTAGCCGTTTAGCCAATGAATGACTGTGATATCCAACTTTGTTAGCAATTTTTACCGACAACAAAAGAGTCACAATGCCACATATACTGTATACTTAGGTGCGAGGTTGCCGAGTGAGGAAACTGCTGTAAGAATGGATGGTTTGGTTTCACAGACTTGAGAAAAGCAGGAACGACTGAATCGCTACAGGTATAGCCATAGACAAACACTATCGGTACCGGTACCGGTAGCCTGAATACAAGGGCCATGAATAGCAAAGGAATAGCTTGTACACACTGACCCTATCTCCTTTCAATGATGAAGCATGCCACCATGTAAATAGATCATCACATGGCCTGAGGCTGACTTGGCAGCAAACATTGTGATGTGTGCAGGGGTAAAGAGGGCAGCGGATGGGTTAAGCCAACCAGCAAGCATGCACAGGTACACGCTTCTCCTTGGCTGCGGACTATTTGCCTTGCAATGTGGCTGTCCGCAGCCAACCCTGCACTAGGTATGGCTGATGTAAGATGTGAGAAAGAACTGGACAGTCGGCTTTGCTACTGACCAGAAGAACGTGTAAGAGGTGGAGACCTTGAAGTGGGATACAGCTGCTTCAGCACTCATAGCTGCAGTCACGTACACACAGTGCAAACACATTATCATAGTAGTACAATTGTATCCGATTACAGGGTATATTCTAGGACGAATTTCCAATCGGTTACGGTTCAATGAAGAGTGGGGGGGGGGGGGAGTCTGGGGTCCCCCCGGAAATTTTTTTCAAAATACAACCCAAATATGGCATTCGACAGCAATTTAACAGATTTCTTGGTGCTGGAGTGTAGCAAAGATATAAGCAGCTCCATTCACCCACAGAAAAGTACGGGCGGTTGGAACTGATTTGTAACTTTTCAACCGGTCGCCAACAATTTCAACCGGTCGAAAACCGGTTGGGGCGGTTCTAGAAAATTCCCTGGATTATATTATCACAAACCGTGAAAAAGCATGTGATGCCCGTTGACACTAAGGGACCATCGCAAAAGTTCGCAGAAGCCCCTGAAACGAAGAGCATACGTTTGGGGGGGGGGGGGGGGGGGGGGAGTCGGTGTCGAAAATCGCAAACCGGGCTTCAATTCAAAAAAGTATTGACGACATGTAGGAGCTGATATAGATTAGCATGCTCAAAGGATACAACTGCATAGCTCTAGCTGTTCTCGTTCTTAACATAGATCACCCACTGCAAGGTGATATCATCGTTGCATTTATAAAGTGCTGTACATTGTTACACACTGATACAACAATGCTTGTGTAGTATAATTATTATACTTCAGTAATAATTATTATGTGTGAGCATCCAAGTGAAATAATGAAGCCCATATTGTGACTGTCGTTTCGTTTGAGGGGGGAGGGAGGGGGGTCAGGCCCGAAACTAACGGTCTTCGTTTCGGGGGCTTCTGCGAACTTTTGCGATGGTCCCTAAGGGTTTCTTTTAAAAGACCAAGCACCCATCTCTCTACCGCATTCGCAAACTTCTGCACTGATAATCAGATGACAGCATTCCTTTTGTACTATTGAGGGTCCCTGGCTCGAGTCCTGGTGGTGACAGTCAATTTTGTCTTCAGACTTTTCCCGTTTGCGTCTTTCCCTCAAGCCAGCGAATACCCGTTTTGAATTGATTCGGATGGAGAGCCAAGGGTAAATTTATAGAAAAGACAAAGGACCAAGATGCAATGCTATCGCATGAGCTGATTCAGTGTTTAGTAACTGGTGGCGTTAGTGGACATTATAGTGTAACTTGTAGTTCTTTGGTACTTTTTCTTTCCTATACCTTTTGTATTGGTTGATAATTACTTGAAGTAGTGCTAGTTGTGTCCCATGGATGTGGTTGGTATATGCGGCTATCTCCCGGCCTGTCTAGTCGGAGTAAATGGTTGTCTCCGTCGTCTTCAGTGTCAATGCCATCTTCTCTTCCCTTTATCAGTGCCCATCTCCTTATTGGATACAGTCACTGCCGTGTGGTTTACTCGTTTAGTTCACGGTGGAGATGGCACGGAGCAGTTGCGGCTGGGGAAATGCCACAATCCGTCAATGTAAGTGCTCGATCTAACGATGCTCATTGGAGTGGCCAGTGCAGCTCACCTTGGAAGGCTGGCCATTCTTCCTTCTCAACCTTTTCAAGCAGGTTGAGCTTGCCCAGCTGCGTAGCGCACAGAGGAAAGTAGTCTTGTAGCGACTGGGGCATGCAGCGAAGGACCTGCTCCGACCAGCTGTGTGACCATCAAGTTAGTTGGTCAGGGTCAACGGCCGTACATGCACAAAAAGCAGATGTTCATAAACACATGTAAGTGACAGGCTAGGCTGCCTGCTCTGCTTCTTCCTGCACACAGACTATACTGAAAGCCAAAGTTTTGGCTTCGATAAGTCAGACATCAAGAGGAATGTTGCGTCGATAATGGTTTCTTTAGTGTATTTATTGTGCGACCCTCTCCCTGGCTACAGCTAGACTAATTGTGCAAGGCCAACTGCCGGTACTGAAAGTAACGGTAGTCTATGACCTACGTGGCCAATGCTAGGCTTAAGTTGGCCTGAGGCTTAAACATAGACTGGTGGTGATCTTATTATGTTCACTGCACTGTCCATTCATCCCAAACTGGCACATGACCCTTTCGACGTGCCACGTGTACAGCGGTAGACAGAGTGAAAAACAACTGATGACAACTGTACGCATTGTGTGACCCGTGTAATATTTCCTTGTCACTTTAGAGACCGGACGCGGACGCGTCAAGGGATAGGGAGCTAGAAATTCGGCCAGGTGATACAAAATTAGGACAGGTGTACCAGGGAAAAAAAAAGTATGGTGAAGCCCATTCGAAACCCAGGATTTCCAGATTTCCAGATTTAAAGTGGGTTACTGTTGAGCCTCAATTCGGCCAAAGCCAGGCTTTCAAAAGCCAGCTATTCTATTCGAATGGACTGCAGTATGTTGATGCCTGAGGAAATGTACCTCCCTGTGGCAGTTCGAAATCCTTGGTATCATGTACTTTGGGTTCTTGAAAGTCATGCAGGGGAAAGTGGTTGAAGACAACAAGAGGCGGAAAGACACACATATCCGGTGAAACGCAGCACCCTCAATCAAAGTCAGTGTAAGTTGAAATCCTGCTCAAGTGCAGCACTCACGTGAAGTTCATAGAATTCTGCAGCGTGCGCATGATGACATCCACCCAAGCGCTGGCATGGCGGTCACAACCAGACACATGCAGACCCCGCGCCACCGTAAGAGCCAGCGATCGGTTCAGCTCATCGCCATCAGATATAACAAACTGTTTTCCAGAGAAGTGGAGGTGGCAGCAGGAGCACAGCAGCAACAGAGATCAGTAAAAGCGGGAATTCACTTGCATTATTTTTGTTACAGTCTAGTGTCCCATGTGTCAACGTGTCGTGCTTGAAAGTGTACTGCCAAAGTGCAGTGTTTCATAAAACGATTCAGAATAGATGCTAGTGGTGGCGAGAGCCAGTAGAGTTCAAACATCAGACAATGCGTCAGTACCCAACAACCCTTCTAAGACAACACTCACAAGTTTGATGTCGCTACCGAGTCTGCCAAACTCCTTGTGCATTTCAGCACAGGCACAGCTTGCGATGAGTCGCAGAGCAGCGGCCTCCACACTACAATGCAGGAGAAGCGGAACACGCCGGAGCAGCCCAGAGTCAGACAACATGCTGCATGCACTAGCACACCCATATCTCTCTTATCCGGGCAGTCCGGGACCGCACACTGCCCTGCAGAACCGGGCAGTCCGGGACCGCACACTGCCCTGCATAACTTGAAAATGTCTATAACTCTGAATCACATACATTTTGATGGGGAAGGGCCAGAGATCTTGCATATGACATCACTATTTCCACAAAACTTGGCAAAAGAGCAGTAATATTTCCACTAGAACTCACCCAAAGGGTACTAGGGTGCCCGGTAGACCGAGGTGTTCATAACTTGGAGGTCCGGACAAGAGAGATACGAGTGTAGATCCGGAGGAACGCCATCAGCACTTATCCCTCAATATGAAGGTGCATGTCAATGGAAGTGTCTTTTGAGCTTACAAGCATTTGCGGCTTGTGAATCATGTATCTGTCGTCTCTACATAATCTGGAAATGCTTTCGAATGTATTTGTGACCACCGTACAGTCTAGCACTGATGTGTACCGTACAGTCTAGGACTGATGTGTACCGTACAGTCTAGCACTGATGTGTACCGTACAGTCTAGCACTGATGTGTACACAAATCCGAGGTCATAATCTTACTAATCAGATTACACAGAACGTGCATAGAGACCAACCTCATGCTGCGTACACAGGTATGGTCTGAATACAGCATACCGATATGCTTTTCTCTTGCACAGTGCGTGGCTATCAATACCACAGGCACCACTAGACTAATAGCGCTGGCCAATGTCAGCAGTATCGGCGGCGCATTTCACCAGCAAATTTCCATGAAATGCTGCTGCTGTGAGATGGTGAGCTTACTTCAGAAACAGCTGGTTGCTGCTGCCAGGGCCCATAGTCGTTTCCTGGAAGATGTTAGCCAAAAGGTTAGTTCTGTAGTGTGGCTGAACATGGTGGAGACGAATATGATACGCCACCATCTCTATCAGTGCATTTAGTGTTGGCATGGAACGATGACGAAAGACTGTTGACAAAACTGTACCTGTGATGAAGAAGAAAAGGTTGGTAAGCTTTCTAAAAAGTAGATGGTTGTTCAAGATAAGCTCTCTGTTTGGGCCGCCAATAATCTTCTGAAACAGGCATACCACGTAGATCTACCTTACAATACCACGTCAATTCATGCACAGTAGAATTGTGCAAGATCATATGAGCCTCTAACTAAATAGGGGACCCATCTCATAGTGAGTACTGTTGACAATGGCTGTCTTGACTCTAAATAAAACGACAAACAACAACAACAACAACAACAACAACAACAACAACAACAACAACAACAACAACAACAACAACAACAACAACAACAACAACAACAACAACAACAGCAACAACAGCAGCAACAGCAACAGCAACAGCAACAGCAACAGCAACAGCAACAGCAACAGCAACAGCAAAAGCAACAGCAACAGCAACAGCAACAGCAACAGCAACAGCAGCAGCAGCAGCAGCAGCAGCAGCAGCAGCAGCAGCAGCAGCAGCAGCAGAAGCAGCAGCAGCAGCAGCAACAACAACAACTCACATACAAACCATTTGAGTAGGACTGCGCCCAGCTGCATTAATAAAATCTGATATTGACCTGCATGCTTACTGTGGAAGAGCTTGATGCCGAATGATTCGGTTTCCAGTGAGTGCAGGAGTCGGCAGTATGTCTCTAAGAGGGCTGGTGATGGTGGTAGGCCACGTTGATACTGTGCTGAGTGCTGTCCGATCAAGCCGACCAGGTGCACAAGCAGACTGCACATACACACACACACTCTCTCTCTCACACACACACACACACACAAACACATGCACACACACGCACGCACACACGCACGTGCACACACACGCACGTGCACACACACAAACACACACACGAAGTGAAATGAGCCGGAGAGACAATGAAAAAAGACAGTGGAAACAGGGGACATGATGAAACCCACTCGGCTAAGAAGACACCGAAAAATCCGATTTTTTCCGCGGACCCCGGTCGTCCCACTCCCCGGCCCCACTGGCCTGTGACCCCCCCGGGCCGAGGGCTACAGCAATCAATCAACAAAGCACATGTATTTCAAGGAGTACTAACTTTACTACTCCGGTCACATGAAGGTTAGCACAGCAATTAGTTAGAGAGGTATACACACACCTGACCCTGACGTGCACTGTCAATGAGTCGAGGAAGGCCAGGGAGCACGGCTTTGTAGGTGGTGTTCCGTGTGGTGGAGTGGAGTAAGCTGACGGCGGACCTGTCAGCTGATCACCAAACCCGCTGACCAGAGCAAGGTGTGGCTCTTGCTGCAGAGATGCTGCAGCAGAGTCGGACAATGTGTACGCGCGCGCGTGTGTGTGTGTGTGTGTATGTGTGTGTGTGTATGTGTGTGTGTGTGTGTGTATGTGTGTGTGTGTGTGTATGTGTGTGTGTGTGTGTAAGAAGAAGGAAAGTGAGTAGAACACAACACAGCATGACACCACTCTTCACTATTCCATGGTATTCCAGTGAAACCTGTCTAAGACGACCGGTCAAGAGATCTTCCTAAATGTGGTCTCAGCTACCAGGTGGTCTCCTTATCCAGGGTCATTTGACTGGAAATAGCATCCCTTGGTCCTGGTTTCAGTGGTCTTCTGGGACAGGTGGTCTTCTGGGACAGGTGGTCTTCTGGGACAGGTGGTCTTCTGGGACAGGTGGTCTTCTGGGACAGGTGGTCTTCTGGGACAGGTGGTCTTCTGGGACAGGTGGTCTTCTGGGACAGGTGGTCTTCTGGGACAGGTGGTCTTCTGGGACAGGTGGTCTTCTGGGACAGGTGGTCTTCTGGGACAGGTGGTTGCTAACTTATGACATGTTTGACTATATTGTGTTGCACACACACCGGTCCAACGCTGACACTAGCACTAATACAAACTACGTAGTACAAAGCACTTGAACAATATGCTACAGGAGACTGCGGGAAAAGTACCATCACTGCCTTTCCTCAGGATCTAATTGGAACAGCTCGCCCACAATCCACCCACCCACCTCCTTCACTATGTCACTTTTGTTAGGTTTAAAAGACGGATACTGCTCAAGTTCATGTAGTGCATGTGATTAGCGAACGTCCAAAAGGAAGACTAGAGGTCATAGTAAGCTTTCACCGCGGCATACTGAACATGATTGCACTGAACCTGCACTGTGCTGCAATACCGTATCACACGGGTTAACACCGGAGCAAGACTGTGCAAAAGGATTAACACTATCATCCCAGTCTTGCAGACGGCTGTAGAAGGCATAGCATGCACAAACCTGCATTCATCACCACCGCGGTGAGGTAGGAGTCGAACCATCTGCCGGGCGATGCCTTCGACACCATACTCTTGATGAAACTGCAGCATGGTGAATGTGCACACGTACAGAGTACAGAGTAGAATGCTGGTTTACTTGTATCAATAAAGATGTCATGATGAATGCGAGACACAGCGTTTTAACAACACACTGGTATAACCGCCGCATTAAAGGGGAAGTTAAGGCAAAAATTAAAATTTCACCAGTTGTAGTCTTCGGGGTGCTGAGTCGAATGGTCGTGGTCCGAGGAAGCTGAGACGCTCCCTTCCTACTTGAATCCCAATCGAACTCGCGCACTTCCACCGAAACTGGGTGACTGCGCCCTACGAGATGGGGATTTGTATGCAAAATGTCACTAAAAGCGCCATTTCGTTCTTATAAAAGCACGGATGACCGCGATTGGCCCATATGTTGTAGTCGTTTGGACGCTGAGTCGACTGGTTTTGGTCCGAAAAGGCTGCGATACAGCGTTCCGCCTTTATTCCCAATCGAACATGGTTGAACAAGCTGTCACGTGCTCCTGCGTACGCCAGTCACCTGGTCACCGTGCCTGCAGGGTACAACTTACTAGCCTGTTTGACCTTTTTTGGGTGCAGTCCTGTCACTCGAGTTGAACTCGAGTTGAACCTTGGTGTGAAAGTTGTCACCTGCTGGCGTGGTGACCAGGTGATTTGGGCACCCAGGAGCACGTGACCACTTGTTCAACCATGTTCGATTGGGAATAAAGGAGGAACGCTGCATCGCAGCCTTTTCGGACCAAAACCAGTCGACTCAGCGTCCAAAAGACTACAACATATGGGCCAATCGCGGTCATCCGTGCTTTTATAAGAACGAAATGGCGCTTTTAGTGACATTTTGCATACAAATCCCCATCTAGTAGGGCGCAGTCACCCAGTTTCGGTGGAAGTGCGCGAGTTCGATTGGGATTCAAGTAGGAAGGGAGCGTCTCAGCTTCCTCGGACCAAGACCATTCGACTCAGCACCCCGAAGACTACAACTGGTGAAATTTTAATTTTTGCCTTAACTTCCCCTTTAACCATCGTGACAAGCTACCGACCTGCCACTGCCGACCACTTTGTCGCCAGGCCCGGACGGTCTCATATTCAAAATGCACTGTGACTAGCGACTACCTGCTCAGCGCGACCAGCGACCGCCTTTCCTTTTCCCAAAGTCGATTTTCGACCCGCAACTAGTGACCGAGGTGTACGAAACCAGAAGGTTGCTCAAAGCTCCTTCTTCCAACTTTGATGATTTCCATTGTCCTGGAAAAAAGACTCTTTTTAAGTTTTTATACTGCCATTGAACAAACAAACGCAGGATCATTGGATTGTGGACTGCACTGAACCTGTCATGGTTTCAAGCGTTTTCAAGTGGAACATGATAGGAAAGGTCTTTGAGAGCGCGACGAAAGCGCTCTCTGATCGCCGCATTTTCCGGAGTCACAAGCCGCACTTTAAACGCTTGAAAGTCACCTGTAAAAAAGTCGGTACGGCTTATGCTACGATGGTGATATGAATGGTGACATACATGGTAGATGCCTGCATTTCGTGACAAAAAATCTGGGTGACCGGTGCTGCTTCAGTACTCTGGAGAATACCGGCGGTACTGCTCTGAAAGGAGAAATGAAGAGTGTGTGTGGCTTGGTCAAAGTGCAATCACATTCTCCAGCATAAAGCCGCCGGCAGAGATGGACGGGAGCACCAGCAGTTCCAAAGAAACTTGAAAGGAGTCCGGCTGGCATGCAGATAGAGTGGTCATCTTCACCCAACCAGAGAACTAGGGGTCGGCAGATAGTGTATGCATCGATGAGGGGGGGGGGGGGGGGGGGGGGGTAGATAGACTATAATTATGGGCCATAGCCAGCTAAAATTTCATTTTAGATTCCACAAAATTTGTCACTTTGCTCTCCAGCTGCTTGAATTCAAACAAGTGTGAGAACAAAGTGCGACAAGATGCAATCGCCACCGGTTGATGAATGAAGCACAGTGTGAACGTGCTTGAAACAAGCAATTCTTCATTCCGTCATGTCTCAATTTTTTTATGAAACCCCATTTAAAAATGGATTATACAATCCACTTCAAAGAGGAAAGCAAGGACATGAGCTATATCTTCTTACATGACCTGGTTCACCAGGATTTTTGGCACTGGCCTCTTCACCACCTTCTCCCCCAGCTGCGTTGAGAAACACACACGCACACGCACGCATGCGCACGCACACACACACACACACATACATGCACACACACGCACACACACACACGCACACACACACATACACACACATACACACACACGCACGCACGCATGCACATGCGCATACATGCACATACGCACATACGCACACACGCACACACATACACACACGTACATGCACATACATACACACGTACACACATACACAAATGCACATTCTAAATACATGCGCCACACGTGAATGTATGCACACAAACAAACGGTACCAGGCATGTCGTGCTTACAATAGAGACACACTCCTGTATCCAATAGAAGTGACTTCAATCACGCGATCCAGAGCCAAAAACCGTTCGTTGTGCGGATGTACGGTGCAGGGGTGGTATGCATGGAGCATTTTTTTTCTCTCTCGACGTTCTCGGGGCCTATACATTATTCACGGGCCTAGACTAGGCTAGAACCTCCGGTTTTTTGTGGGATGGGCTAATGCACATGTAGAGGTTTCCAATTGTGTGCCACATGTCCTGCTTGGCCAATTGCCGGACATATCCACCAGCATTTTTCGTTTTCAAAGCGATCTTTCGGCATCTCCGCTTCGTTGCCCGCCAACGACCAACCCACCGTTGTGTTCAGCGCCCTCGAATTAGTCTAGATAGATTTGTGGCTGTGTGAAGTTCATCCGGGGTAACTCAGAGTTACGAAACTGCAACTGCTCGTCCTTCTGTCTGTGTAGCTTTGTGGCTGTATTCTTCTTCGTAGCCGTTCTGAGTTGTTTCGAAATTTTTGCCGCGCACTATGCCACGCCAATTCTAAAGTGAAATATCCTGGTGTGATATGCGAGAAGCTCGGTGTGTCCAGTACCCTGCTGTTGAAGTGTGATCCAGTACTCTGCTGTTGAAGTGTGATCCAGTACCCTGCTGTTGAAGTGTGATCCACGACAAGGCCATTGTTGTACCCTGCTGTTGAAGTGTGATCCACGACAAGGCCATTGTTGTACCCTGCTGTTGAAGTGTGATCCACGACAAGGCCATTGTTGTACCCTGCTGTTGAAGTGTGATCCACGACAAGGCCATTGATACCTCATGACTAACGGGCTAGCCTCGGCTAGAGCTCCCGGGCTGGGCTTTCAAGGTGACTCAGCCTGCAAGGGGTAATACGGGGAGTTGGCAAAGTGGGTCGGTTGGATTTCTGGGCTTAGCGTGAGCGGTGAGACTACCAAAGTCCAGACGCATTGTCTAGGCGTCCTCCAGGAAAAACGCCACAAGTTGATGAAGAGGGGAGCTCAGGGCAAGTTGAGCGCTTACTCGACCAGCAGTTCGACTTTCCGCCGCCGACCGCAAACGAGTTGCCTTCTTCCGTATCTGCGCTGTCTTCAACTCCAATTTCTGTTTCTTCCACTGCTGGGGCTTCGGCCACAGCACTTCGTCCTATCACTCACATGCACCAGAACAGAGGATACTATACAGCCGCAACTGGCACAAGCAGATTTGAACTGCTAGGCCCTTCGCCAAAGGCGTTGTATCCTTTGCTGACGCTGTACTATTTGTCCCACTCGAGCCTGTTGAGACCGATATTGTGACCCTGGAAGTTCTCTGCATGCTGTGTACAGTGTATGGCAACAGCATTGTACATGACTCATCTACTTCCTGAGCATTTGCCGGGTGGAGCCCTTCATACACACAGTCAGGAAATGCAACAGCAAACTGCATCCGTACGGAAGACAAGTGTCAGCGCAGAAAGAGACTTTTCCCAGCTGGATAGATTCCTCCGAGAGAAGCCGAATGTGCGTACAGTGTCTCTCGAAGGAATGGGTACGTTCAGCAACAACCGGACAGCAGACTGGCTGATAAGTAAACCGGAGAAGGAGCAGGCTGAAATACTGGCTCAAGCTCGCCGAACAGCCTCAGCTCTGAGGCGGCTTTGTGGAGAACGCAAGAAGGAAATACAGCAGAATTGCTTACAGCAACTGAAGGAAAAGGAAGATAGTTTACCTAAAAGAGAGAGAGAAGGAACTGAAGAAGAAGGAGGAGCTGACAACATTGGTACACAGTTTAACCAACGAATTGATCTCCACACAGACAATGAACAAGCGCACTACAGTCCTTTCATCCAAACTAGTCCAGCTAGCTTTTGAACGTCCGATTTTGGCCGAAACGAGGCAAAAAACAGTATAAACTTGAAAAATCTGGGTTTGGGATTTGCTTCTCCATACACTTTGCCAAAGCATACCTGTCCTAATTCTGTAAAACCTGGCCGAATTTCTAAATCCCTGTCAGCGGACTGTTCTAGCCTCAAATGTGGCAAGGAATAATTGCATGGGTCACACAATACAAAATGTACTGGTTTTCATTTTTACCTTTAATACTTTGCCGTATTTTCTAGAGTATAAGCGCCGTACTTTTTATTTTAAACACACATAATTATTTATTTAAACACACATAATTCACCCCAAAAAAGTCGGTGCAGCTTATACCACAATCGTCAAATGAACGACGACGGTAGATGCCTGCATTTTGTGACAAAAAATCTGTGTGCGGCTGATATTCCAGAGAATGCGGTATACGTTGGAGACACCAACAAGCTAGGGTGCCACTTTCCAATGAATGACTTTGGTACCTCGTCCTCGGATTCCCTGAGATGTTGGTGCGAGCCGGGTCATGCGTGGATAGGGCAGCAGAATGGGGTTTATGCATAAAACATGGCTGCCACCTTCCTGAGGGGCAACTTGTCAGTCCCATATCTGGCAGGTACAGCCAGGTGTAGTACATTTGTGGGTATGATCGTACACAGTTCATGACCTTTGATGCAGGATTGGCATCACAGTGTGTACCGTTATAGTGGACTTGCCCCTCAAGATCAAATGGCGGGAGTATTATGCATAAGCCCCATTCCATTCTGCGGCTCACTGCCCAATTCTGCCCAGCGATCAGTGATCACCACTACCGTAGCAGTGGGTAATGGCCAATTCTATGGAAACACAAACATCACTAGTATGTCGTGTAAGAGATTAGAGCGAGTCTCTCACCTTTTCTATCAGCAGCACTACAAAAGAAGCAGCTGCCATCTTCTTCGCCGCCTTGGTGTCACCTGCATCTGGCACTGGCAATGGCTGCAGTTGAGGCAATAGGAATCACGCACACGCATCCGGCCAGTCTTTATCATGACATGTACCATTGTCAACCTAACTGCTGCATGGGCAATAGGTACTGCAAATAGTGATCATGCACCCTGGGTGGCTCCCCTGGCTGGTTGAAAGCCAGCCCACAGCGGCCCGCATTCTGTGATCAGTATAATCCCAGTCATTGCAATGCATGAGTCAGTTGATTTTGGCCGTCAGGAGGCCAGCATAAGGTATCCGGGGGTGTGGGTCTGATTCCAGTGAAGAGCAATGTGGTACCCCGCAGTACACGGCTTATGTACGTGCTGTATTGCAAGAGTAGCGTGATACTCGCCAAGCGCTTTCGCTGTTGTCTAGCAACACAATTTTAGCTTTCCTGGGCCCTCTAGATGCATGCTGGGTGGCCCTGCATATGACTGCACGTTTTCATAGCAACCTTGGAAAACTCAAGCCAGTTTGCAACAAGCTAGGAATCAGATAACGGCTTATAAAGCCCTCAAATGTCCCCGCCGGCCACCAGCACTTCATTGTAATCAAATTTTGTATTTCAAAAAGTAGTAGGCAAATACATAATAATAGACATCATAGGAATAGCCTGGAGTACCATCATGCAAACCTGTATGTGCGTGTGCGTGTGTGTGTGTGTGTGTGTGTGTGTGTGTGTGTGTGTGTGTGTGTGTGTTTTCTGGAAAACTGCTCACCTCGTGCTCTCTGAAGAGTAGATTGAAGATGTCAATGCAGTGGACAATTCGCTCGGGATGCTATAGAGATATACAAGAGTGGAGTAACACAACACAGGGACACACAGTGGCAAGACGTCACACCTAGAGTAGAACTTGAAGTTCATGCAAGTCTCATACTTCCTAGTTGTCGTGTCAGGGGCGCCGGACACGGTACGGTCACTACGGTATTGACCGTACCACTATTTGCCCCAAGTACCCGGTGAATCAATAAAATGCACTGATTGGGACTCTAAATTTCCACCATTTTCGGCTCAGCCACCCCTCCCCCACGAGTAAATTGTACTTCAGATGGCTGACCGTACCACACTAAATTACCTTCCGACGCCCCTGCTGTATCATGTACATGTGCGCTCATCCCATACATTCATTCACCCGGGTGCATCCGCAATGCCAGTGCACGACGTAAGCGGCAGTGTACACATAAAACTGGATATGCACGTGGGAGAACAAGTGTATGGGACGAGTGTAGACGGTACGTATCCATAATACAACAACTAACGTCAAGCAGTATGAGACACTTGCATGAACTTCAAGTTCTACTCTGGTTGCGAAGGTGTTGGTGAGACGAGAAGGTACAGTCGCATCAGTTCATTTTCACTCGGACACTAACAGTGATATACCAGCATTGCACGCAAACAAGAAGACAGCATGAAAGGAATCATTAAAAAGGAATCGTAGTTTGATGTACCTCCAGTGTGTGTGATAACGCATTTCCGCAGACCTGTAGAAGAAGCCACATTAGCTCTGTCCGGCTCTTGCGAAAACCTTGGAAACAACGAAGCTAAAAAAAATACAGAACATACAATGTGGAATATTTCAGCACAAAAGCTGAACTACATAATCATCATTTTGTTCGGATACCAAAACCGGATCCCCTCCCCACTCCTCGGAAATACAATGTTACAATTCTGCTTTCTTGTCCAGAGTAAAGACAATAGCGAGATTGATTGTGCGTTTGCTGGCAAACTGCATGGGAAAAAACTGCATTGAATTTTCTAACCACTGGATGCACACTGTACTGTGCAAGAGGTACAGGGGCGTCACCCGTGATGGGCACGGGGGGCACGTGCACCCCCCTAAAAAATTCGACCTTGGTTTTTTGCGAACTCCTGGTTGTGAAAAGTGTAGTGCTGGTAGAATCTGCTAATAAACTGCATGCACTAAAACTAGTTGTACTGTGCTGCCGCGATCGCGTGATTGCCTGTAGCGAGTGCAAGTACATGACCAGTATGACTCGTAGACTAGCTACACTAGTTACACTGAAATGGCACCAAATGCCTGAAAATGCTTGCAATTGCCTTCAATTTTTCAAATTTTTTCCCGGGGGAGGATAATGAAGAATTCTTGTCCCCGATCGTAGCGTCTTCTTGGCTTGTTGCAGAATCAAAAAGTCTTTCATAATTGAAATGGCACCAAATGCCCGGAAATGCTTGCAATTGGCTTCAATTTTTGAAATATTTCCCGGGGAGGGCCCCCGTACCCCATGGCCGCCCCACCTCCAAAGTCGGTGCAACGGGCCAGCTATCAGCGAACTTTTTCGTGTTTTCCTGTGCAAAATTCCTGGCGCACACACACACACACACCATTGACGCCCATCACCGGAGGCGATGATAGCGATGCTACAGCAAGCCATAGCAACTTGTGCTGGGATTGCAACATTCAACAGCTTGCAAGGCTGAAGAATTGACCACCACTATTCAGCTTGGTCTACACCACACAGCTATGAAGTGGCTTTTTCTGGCCAGTGAATCCCTACTTTTTGGTCTTTTTCATTTTTTTCCCGCACACACACCACACCACATACTCCGGCATGCACTGGCTGTTGGTAACCACCCAGGAGAATGAAAGAAAAGTCAGGAGGAGTCTGAGAAAGAGAAGAAAGACGTGTGTGACCATAATCGTCGGGAATCGAACCCGCAACCTATCGATTGGAAATCGCTGCACATACCACTGCACCATATGGGACACACACACACACACAAACACACACACACACACACACACACACACACACACACACACCAGTTCCACTACGAACTCTGTTCAGGGTAATTTCGTCAAATGTGTTGTACAGCAGTACATCAGCGGTGACTGGGTTACATGTGGCCTACCTTTTCGAAGAGGCACCGAGTGAAGTTGGACAGAACAACAAATCCGTGTAAAGGAAAGTAGGTCAGCAGACACGACATGTGATGCCATTGGCCTTCAAGCCAGGCCGTCCTTGTTTCCAGCTCGCCGATTGACAGGTCATCTGAGAGCATGCTCTCTGACTCCTCCATGAGTCGAATCACTGCGTCAGCGCTGAGGTCTTCCAAAACTTGGGTTGGATAGCGAGTCTACACAACACAGGAGGTTGAACCCAGAATATTGCATGTGAAGAGGTTCACGGTGCCCATCCACCCCCCCCCCCCCCCCACACACACACAGAGTTTGATTGAAAAATCTCTCACCCAAGATATGATACTGCAGTAGATGAAACCATGCCAACATTTTCATTTTCCAGCCACGATTGTAGCACGCACAGGAAGAGAAACTTTATTGTGTTGTAAGTGGCAGTCTGGTCATCTCATTACAGTCAACGGGGTCTATACTTAGTGTCTGTCACCAGTCCATGTACGCACATGCGCACACGCTCACGCTCACACACACAAATACACACACACACACACACACACACATGCACACAAACACACACATAAATCTACACACAAACACACACACACACACACATACACACAGACAACCCCAGCAGTGAGGATGCTACTCGGCCCACCATGTTGCATTGTGCTGCTCTTACTGGCTTCTTCTCCAGGCTCAGGATGTGCATGACCATGTCTCGGGAGAATGGCTGGCGGAAGACTTGAATAAGGAAGTCTTTCTGCGGCATCGATACTTCCTGCACAACAAAATTACACATGCATATAGCTGCATTCCCCTACAACGTACCTGTGACTTCTCTTGCAGGAGGGGGGGGGGGGGGGGGGAAATGTCCCAATGTCACCAAAAGAACCTTTTTTTTAAACGAACAAAGGCTTTGAAAGTTTCTTTCACAACTAATTCAGTTGTTTAACCAGTACTGATACTTAGTACATGCAGGCATGACAAGTCAACCAACCAAAATGCATTTTCATTTCGCTACACTTTGCACAGGTTGCTGGCTTGCAACCGGCCACATGGCCACATGCACAGGCAGTGGCGCCTCGCTTGATCAATGCAGTGCTGCAACGAGACTACCGGGTACACGCTACACATTGCACATGCATGGACTGTGTGCCGCGGTGAGGCCGGTTCAAGCGCAGACCAGTTCGGATGCACAGGTACACTATGTAATGCTACACAGCAAAACCTGTAGCTAAAGACCGCCGTGACTAGCGACCAGCCTGGTACTAAAGACCACCGTGACTAGCGACCAGCCCGGTACTAAAGACCACTTCGCCAGGCACGGACGGTTTCACATTCACATTATGGTTCTGCGGTGCAAACCTCTAACTAAGGACCACCTGCCACTAAAGACCGCTTTCTCTGGTCCCAAGGGGTGGTTGTTAGTCACAGGTTTCACTGTGTTAAAACATGTATGCTTCTATAGAGTAGAGCATGCACACTGTATCACCAGTATAGGGTGAGCAACACCAGGGTAGTACCTAAACATCTTTCATTCGAACCGAAACTAACCTCGGGGTGAAATTCAAGCAAAAGCTCCTTCGGGCATTCCCCACATCCAATTCACCCCTACTCAAGTGGGATCGATGACACTGTTTATTATCCGTATTTACATCAAAGTACCAGCCATGATGACGCTTGACAATACCCCAAATACCCGCAGACCAGTGTTGATCATTCACCCTTCGAAATAACACAGCAAGGGGACAATAGTTGCGATCCAAAAGATGCCTGGCAGTACGTAGAGTAACAACTGCGGAACTTCTACCTTGTCAAAGGGCAGCGCTCCTTTGCGGGGAAACTCCAGCGTTTCCACTTGAACTTTCCACAGGTAGTTGTGACTGGCGCTGGTACTGATGACAGGGCGGAGGTAGCAACGACCTTCAGCATACACCGGGAAGAAGGATTATACAGTTTACTGAGCAAACATCCCAACAGCTTCAGAGTCACGCTCAGGTTGGGATCCATTTCTATCCGGGATCAATGCCTGTGTGATTCTCAATGGGAATGCAACAAAAGGCGAATATGATCTTGTGTGACATACCGTACTCACTTGATTAGAAGAAGCCTCTCTTGAATAATAGCCCCTCTTGAATAATAGCCCCTCTACCAGGACTGTTTGAAAAAATACAAGCCCCTCTCGAATAGAAGCCCGGACTACTATTCGCAAAGCATGGGTTGACCAGGTAGTGCCATGTTTGAAGGTCAAGTCTGCAAAAAACATCTCGTGCATGTTCCTATTGGTACATGTCCTGGTCGATGTAGTGTTTGCAAACTAACTCGGGGCCGAGTTGCTGTGAATATGAACGTTTTACAGATTCGATTGGAATACTGGTATGGAATGAAACCATAAAAGCCCCTCTCCAATAGAAGCCTCTCTTGAATAGAAGCCTCCTCGAAATTGGTATTGAAAAAATAGAAGCCCCCGGCTTCTAATCAAGTGAGTACGGTAAGTAAATGTTGAAGAGTTAATGCTGGATGTCCACAACATGTGAGACTGATGTGCCTCTCTATGCACCAGGGCCAGATTGTACCAGAGTCGGTACCAGCTATGTTTACAACAGGCTATACAAAACAGCTGCAGCATTGGCCGTCGGAGGCAAGAAAACGGAGACCCCCCCCCCCCCCTCCCCCCCATTGCCAACGCCAACTCACCAGGCATGGATATCGCATCGACAAGCGGACGGAAAGATAGATGAAAGGCGGGAAGTACAGCGTCCAGGATCCAGTGCGCAGCGGGACTTTTGTACTTGAGAGCAATCTCAGTTTGTGCCATGTACGCAGGTAACAGGCAAACGTCACGATCCAGTAGATATTTTAACACCTGAAAAGAGAGCAAGCGTGGAAAGAGAGGACATGTACATGACCATCACACATGGCAAGCAATGATAAGAAATCACCTAGGCTAGAGTTCCATCTGGCTGCGGCCACGTACCCCTCAATACGTGTGCTGTTGGCCTTCTTGCCTATGTCTCTCTTTATGCCAGTGTACATGTATTATGTGGAGAGAATAGAACGGAAATAACCCCTGGTCGACAATGGAAAGAGATACAACTGATCACCTGCAATCGACTGCGGGAAGAGATGCATCACCTATAGGCAACAATGAAATGTAAAGCGGGTGTCCCTCAAAATATGGCAATTCCAAGTAGAGTTTAGTTAGGGTGCTGAGTCGTACGATCTTGGTCCAAGGAGGCTGCGATGCATCACTCGTCACATATCGAATTGAGCTCGCATGCACAGTGCACCGCATTCCAATGATGACGTTAATTCATGAGTCGGCAGAGATCCACGCATTAATTTTAAGTTCGAAATGAGCCGCTACGTTGGAGCCTGTTCTATCAATGTGCAGTCGGACCTAGGTCATTTGACCCAATACTCCAGGGACTACATGTTCCGAAATGCTATGTCAGAGCGGACACAGACCTCAACCTGCTGTCAGGTGGTTGAGGTCTGTGTCCCCTCTGACGGCTGAGGTACAAGTAGTTGAGTGCGCTGCATGTTTTCTGCACATACAGTACTTCCTTTGCACCTGTCGTTTGAGCTGATGACGTAAGCGGGCAAGCAATTTACTGCTACCGGCAGCTTTGAGCTCGTTGAAAAGTGGATCACTAACGCACAGCAGAGATGAAATCTGCAAAAGATGTAGTACTTGAATGCCGACCTAGGCACCTTTTTTTTCTGCTCCGACTACACTTCCCACACATCCAACACAGTACTACACGAATCTCTGCACTTGGGACTACATTTCCCACACAACCAAGACAGTCCGCATCAAAAGCAGCTAGATAAATGTCTTAGGCCCCGGCCATTGGCCACCATCAAGGAGCAGTCAGAAAAAATGATCGCGAACCGTACAAAAAACTCACTGTGTGTGCCTATATAAACACTAGAGGTGAAGGGCTGTGAAGTTCTAACTCAGTCAAGTGTCACGCATTAGAGCGATCACTGATCAGACAGAGGCATTAGCTACTGCGGCTTTTGCGAGTGGGCCTAGATATTAGCTGCCGTGGAAGTTGTCATGCATGTGTGAATTACAGAGGTTGTAATGGCCCAATGCCATGGTATGTGGCTTTCAAAGCGTTGAAAATCAGTGACAGAACCAAAGCGCCGAAGATGTCATATACGCTACAACTACAGTCCATTCATTTGAAACTGGCACCCTAACTTTTTGGTGTCTCTCTCACACAGTTGTAGATATCGTGAAAACAACAGTACATCCTGCATTGTGTGACCCGTGCAATTACTCCTTGCCACATTTGAGGCCAGAAAAGTCCAAGAACCGAGCAATAGAAATTCAGCCAGGTTTTACAAAATTAGGACAGGTATGCCACGGCAAAATGTATGGAGAAGCAGATCCAAAACCCAGATTTTTGAGAGTTAAAGTGGGTTTTTGATCCTCAATTCGGCCCAAATCCGACTTTCAAAAGCCAGCGAGCCAGTTTCCGATGAATGGACTGTAAGGGCACCAGACACTGAGCCCATCACCAGCAACCTGAACTGGCAATGAAAGTGTCCTCCTCAGTGTCTAGTAGCACAAAATGTAGCAACCTGCCAGCTGCCACTACCGTCAACTCACTACTACTCACACCGTGCGGCACTGCTTACCAATACAAACTGCCGGAGAATATCACTCTACACAGCGGAGTCACCAATCCAACACATAATGTGATAGTATCGGGTATTCCAACCCAGTCACCAACCTAACACAGTATGTGATGGTACTTGAGCACAGCACAGCGCTAAACTTTCACACAAACACCATTTCCCGGCCACCTTGCATGCTATCTATTAGATAAGTTTGTAGCCTACTGTAGCCTCTTGTACTCTTTAGGTCCCTGGATCGAATGGTCTTGGTCCTAAGAAGCTACGGTACGCCCGACCGTTGACTGTAACTTATTGGTTGTCTCTAGCATGTCGCAGTGACGTCATCACCAGAAAGCGACGTACTAAACGTGCAATTTCAAAAAGAAACGCATGTAGGCTGAAAACTATGCATCACAGCCTCCCCGAAAAACTGTTGCTCACATCGACCACCGCTGACCCATGCATGCATGGTCCTACTATGAAACGTGACTGTGGAAGTAAAAAGAGTTGAAGGACAAGCCATTGGTTAGCCATTCTCATTGTGAAATCAAAAAAAATTTTTTTTGACCAAGAGTGGTACATACGATTAACAAAGATAGAAATATTTACAACACTTTCCAGGGGTTTGTTGTTCGGAACAACATCGTCAGTGGATAAAATGAATAAAAACTGTGGAAGTCTTGAAAAGACAGCGTGCTTGACAAAAAAAGGGTCTAAGAGAGCAGCTTTCGTTACTGGAGAAATGTAGCCATCGTTTGACTGAACACAATTTCCCTGTTCTGTGCAGCCCTACGTGTAATGGCATGTCTCTTGCACGTACCATGATGCACTTGAGGGAAGCACACGACAGTCTGAGCTGCAGCATATAATTATCCCCCTGTCTAGCATCAATAAATCGTATACCCTGGCCATACCTCGATGGTGGTGGTTACTCTGTACTCAGTAGCAAATGGCATGTGCCGTGGTAGTGCTGTGATGCGACTCAGGAAGTGTTGAAGCAGGTCGCGGCAGCCTTTATAGTCGACAGCCTTGATTTCCGACTTCAGTGTACGGAGACCCACACACCAGACTCGTTCAGACTCGAACGGCGGGTATGTTATTAGTGCATTACATAGTGTTCTGACGTTGTACACACAGACACACAAATGTCCACAAAACACACACAGTTGTACACACAGACACAGACACACGCACACACACACACACACACACACACACACACACACACACACACAGTTGCACACACAAACACCCACGGGTTTACACACAGTTGCACCCACAGACACCAACAGACACCCACAGACAGATACAGTTGTGCACAGAGCGGTGCCGCCCATTGCACAGACAGTCGCATAGACAGGTACATACAAGGCAAAATGAAGACATGAGGAATGGTACTGCAGCAGTTCTAGACCTGAGCAGTGTTGGAAAGTGCTCCGGACTGTGTGGCACCGGACAGCCGGCACACCTCTGTGAGGAGTAAGAGTGAGTTGCTGAATATGAATATGATCCTGTTCAGTTGCAGATGCAGCTGCAATGCGGCTTGAACACATATTGTGCTGTTTGGACTAAGGTACGTGTACCACTATGTCCCCCTTGGTAAAAGGTACAGGTACTCACTTGGCATTTAACATGTGTTTCTTCACCAAGATTGGCAGCAAGCTGAAGAAGAACTCAACCTGTGTGTGATTCCGGCATGTCGTCAGGTGCCTGATATACGCTGACAGCAACGTGTCCATGTTATCCTGCGAGGAGAACACATCCACGAGAGGTGAGCGCGGAGGGGAGGGGGATATAGACATTGCAACAGAAAAGTATCACACACACTCACTAGCATACTAACGTTGCTGATAAAGAAATCCGACGGATGTGGCCATGTACTACTAGACTAGACTAATTTGTACATTCCTCCATAGAGTGCCGGCGGCAAGGCCGGGTTATTCTGGTCACGGAATACTGTTGTAACTTACTGTCAAAGAAGGACATTTCAGGTTGAACTAGACTGTTTTGCCATGGAAACAAACCAGGGACCACGTGTTAGTACCTCACACAATTTGCTCTGAACTATAGTACATCATTCTTTAAAAAGACTGAGACTCAAATATAAATTTTAAAAGTCTTTGTGTAGCATGCACAATGAACTATGCCCTCTTTGTCTTGGACACATCGGTTTCATCTTCTTCATTTTTTAAATCTTGTCACAGAAGCTTCTCACAGTTTGAAACATTTCCACATTAGACTAGAAATTAATTATTAGCAAGAAGAACAATAATTATGAGAATGGAACGGTGACACTGGATCTGATTCAGAAGAGCGTCCTTGCAAATGCACTTCACTAAACACGGACAGAATACTGTCTGCAGACTGGACTTACCGATGGCAGTTTGAGAATTGTCTGCTCTATCTCCGTTACGGTCTCGGCCTCCTTGGCACTCCATGGTTTCACGTAAGACCTGTAAATTATGGTGTGTACAGCATGCAGACAGTGACAGGTTGGTTGACACATTGCAGAACTAGACAGCGAGTACCAGCTACCATAAGCTCCCGTCCAACAGGCACAGGTGTGGCGAACCCATGGAGGCTTAAAAGTTCCATTCAGAGCATACATACTAGCCTTTACATGCAGCGTACACTGATCAATCAGAGCCGATGTCAACACTACCACAGTACGGAGCTGAAGGGATGGCCAATGGCTCCTTACTGTGTGCAGGCAATGCAAATGCAGCAGTTTCATTGTAGTTGGGTTGAGCCTGTAAGCCTGTATACCGATCTGACAGGACAGTAAGTGCCGAGACGGTGCATGCCTATTGTGCTTATGCTGGAGAAACAGGTTTCCTTTTCTCCATTCCCGGTCACTCCATCTACAATGTTACATCATACTGAGTCAGTGATGCCACGACAACAGCTTACCCACTGAATATTGTATATTGATGAGGATTCTGAGAAGAGACAAAAACCAAGAACCATCGAAACACCAAATGATCCCATTGTGCAGTTAGATGAGAACTAAAACTCCATGTTCATGTACATGGATTTCTAATATCACAAAGGGGTTGCAGATACATGTAGACCAGTATTCATCAGACAATGACCTCAAATACCGTATTTTCCGGAGTATAGTGCGCACCTTTGTATAACGCGCACCCCCAATCTTCATTGGGGGTGCGCACTTCAATCTTCATTGAAGTACATGCGTTTCATATTCGGAGCATAGTGCGCACCTGCGATTTAGGGCCAAAAATAGCACATCTAAAGTGCGCACTATACATGTACTCCGGAAAATACGGTACAAAGGCACATACACAAAAGCACACTGCGTCAATATGGGGGCCACTTTCCAAAAAAAGACAATATTGCTTTGCTCAGAAAAGAAGGAGATGCTGAAAATCATGCATCGTGAACAGCTGAGTTCCACTAACAAGGCCCAAATCAAAGGTTTCTGGTTCAGAGAACTAGCCAGCCAGCCAGCCAAACTCATTTTCGCATTTGTATGGGAAATCAACTGCTGTACGCAATTATTTGGTGTGGATTGCAAGGAAACCTGCCAGTATACTTTCAGATATATAATTATATCTGAAAGCATGCTGCACTGCGTAAGCTGGAGCCAAGAGTACTACAGACACATGTGCAAGGCCTTTTTATTGGGTAATTTAAGTAAGGTCGTAGACCCCATCTGCTTGTCATATAGTGGAGCCTGATTGGATATAACGACCTTGGATATAACGACAAATCGAGTTTAACGACAAATTTCTGTTGCCCAAGCCGTTTAGCAAGTCTTTTCTGTACATTATAACCTCAAAAATAACGACAGATCGAATTTACTGACACTTTTTTGGTGCCTGAAGACCTGAAAATGCATTGAGTAGAACGACTTTCCCCTTGTATCAGGCGGAGTGGCATGCATGGGACATGTCTGTGTCACATGCCCGGACCTCTGGGTCACTCCGCACGTGCTGGTCAGTGCCGCGGCACACAGTAGCCGAAGTGCAACGGTGTAGTTGCTATGCATGATTTTTGGCTTGAACTATACGTGCAAGGTACATGCCGAATCATGCACATTTGAAATCCATAATATGCATTATTACGCACATGCATGTCGGCTGCAATACATTTCTGTCATTTTGATATACATTGTACATAATTGCATACTAAAATATGAAGATCGGGTTTAGTGACAGATCGAATATAGTGACATTTTGTTTTCAAAACTAGCCCACATTTGACGTTGAAGATCAATCAGCGAATGACAAGCCTCCAACCAGGCAGTAATAATGTGGTATTTTGCTGCTCCCTGCTTCCAACTAATGATGAGCTACAATGTACAGTACATGTGATTCCTGGATGCTGCTTTCTCCAGAATTACCACACTCTCCATCGAACTTAAAGTCAGATTTCTCAACCCGTTTTTTCTCTTCGTCACGTTTGATTGTGCAGTAAGGCATCTTTGATCATACGCTACTATATTCCCACAAAAACCGCAAACTGCACTTCAACGTTACTTTCACTCTTCTGCTACTGTACCCACACTTGCAAGACATGAAAGAAAGAAACTTCTTTGCCTTTCCACACTGTGTGACCTCCAACGCGACCACTCAAAAAGCCAGAACTACATTATACAAAATTATAGCGCGAACGCACTGCTATGTCCGACGAGTGTTTTCCATAGACCTTGTTGCTACTTTTACCCATGGCGTGTTTGTATGATTCTTCGCTTCTAACAAAACGTTCCGAGTGCGATACAAATCATGTGCTGAGTCTACTCAGGAGGTCTGATGTGATACTGCACAACGGCAGGTACGAAGCGGAGCTGCCCTTGACTAGAAGTTTCATTGCAAAGTGGCCAACCATCAGACAAAATGGTCAACTGCAATTAGGAACACGACTCAGAGTAGGTCTGAACCAGGGAGTAGTACAATACCTACTACTCCCTGGTCTGAATAGGGATAGCTACAGTGTGCGATGTGCAGAGTTCCACATGCGATCAGCGGTCCGCATATTCATACGGTCTCTCTCTCTCGAGCCAGCTGCGAACCAAGATCGAAATTTCTGAGGGGGTACTTTGGCACCCAAAGCACCCCCCCCCCTGCCTATGGCCCTGATGTACATCTTCGAGTGAATCTATCAAGCTGTGCTTTGCTCGTGAGTGCGAATGGGGGAAATTCTGCCTCAACACAACCGCCACCACTGAACAGATAAGAAATCCCTGAAACGTACACCATTCCGTGCGTGATACTCCATGCATGGACACTTAGCACTCATGCTCAGTGCATAGCGTCATTTCATTTCCATAGTACATGACCTATTTTTTTTCTCTCTTCTGCCAGTAAAATGTCCATGGACATTCTTTTTCGGTGTGATGGCAAGCGGAAGCAAATTTTGTTGCTCCACCAATCGGCTCCTTACTTTTGTTTTGTTTGTCGAGCCGCGTGACTGACCAAGGAAGCACAGCTATGGCTGACGCAGCCCTAGACCTAGCCCTGATCGAGTTCAATGTGTTACAGCAGGTAGCCAAGGATGCCTGACTTCCAGGATGCGATGCCTTATCCAGGCGGACCTCATGTTCGCTCTCCGTGAGCAGGGCCGGGGCACCAGCGCACCAGCCAGAGGAGCGCCATCTGAAACCAGCATGGTACCAATTGTATCAGGACTGTTAGACGTAGTCCGAACACTTTCAAATGCGATCTCGCAACTACGAAATGTAATTGAAACAAGTAAGTCTTCGCAAGAAAACTTTGAAGCTCAATTGTCACTGTTGCGGGAAGAGATGGGGGAGCTCAAAAATCAGCAAGTGCGAGCCCCGGGAGTGCCACTAACCACTCGGTACCAACCGAATACGTACGCTGCCACCCTTTCACGTACATCTAGTATTCTACTACAGAGCCCGTTGTACAAGAAGGTCCAAATATGTACACCACTACCATTCCTGGTGCATCCGCTACAGAGCCCATTGTACAAGTAGGTTCCCAGTACGCATCTCACGCACCCAAACATGGCACGCGAAGGACCAGCTCTGGTACTCCTGGTGAAACTGACCGTAATGGATGGCAGTATCCTCCACGCCGACACATGACTCGTGCTCCCGCACTGCAGCGTTCCATTACGTCACAGTACAAAAAGCCGATGTCCAGTAAGCGAGGCAGCCACCAGGGGGCAGAATGGATAAAGCGGAAAGGTTTCTACCTCGGAAATGTCGACCCTGGGTGTGAGGCTGACTCTATCAAGGAGTGGTTCAAAAAGAAAGCAGTTGACGTCCTCAGTTGCTCAATTTCGGAATCCAAGTACTTTGGTACTGCTTATGCTCACATTGTTGTTCCTGCTGAGCATACTGACCAGGTTCTCGACGATGACTTCTGGCCAAGCAAAGTTTCCATCTGGGAATGGAGATTTGCATCTGACAACACAACCTTTGATCAGTCTGCTAGTAACTTCACCATGCAATTGGACCCACACCCACCTTCCTCACTGAACCCACCCGCTCATCCTTTCTTTCCCACCAGACACTCCCTTCCCAGTCACCAGCATTCTGGACCACCCCAGCTCACGTTCCTATCACAAACTGTAGTTCTGTAGTTCTGAAGTGAATAAGTATACAGAGCTTACTATAGTTGCTGAAGAGTGGCAGCCTGACATAATCTGCCTAACTGAAACCTGGCTCGACCCGAATATTGCACTTAATATTGCGCATTGTGACACCTTCCGGAGGGACCGGCCTCCTGCAGAGAATAAGTCCGGGACAAGTGCAAGAGGTTAACTTATGGTGGTGTCGCTATCCTTGTCCAACAGAACAAGTTTTTAAGTCTGTTGCCGCGCGTCCCGACCTAGCTTGCGATGGGTGCGAAGCCTTTTGGGTTCAACTCCAGCCGTATCCGGCTGCAGCTGAGCCGATCCTCCTCTGCTCCAGTTATCGTCCACCTTCTGCTAAGAGTAAGACACCAGATCTGGCAAGGTACTGCCAGACCCTCGAAGACATACTCATTACTCTTCCTCTTTCATCTTCTCACATTATCTTGACGGGTGATTTCAACAGTAAGCACACTTCATGGTGTTCAACAGATTCCACCAACACTGCCGGTTCCGAATTGTATCGCACGTTCAGTTCTTTTGGTCTTCACCAACTCGTTAACGCATGCACATACAGGTCACCCTCTGGTGCCCAGGCCTGCTTGGATTTGGTGTTTAGTAACCGTGCCAATCTCTCGTCTTGCGTCGAAACTGACTGCCCTCTGGGTGCCTCAGACCATACTGTTGTGTACTGCCAGTTCGACATCCCACTGCCTCAGTCTCCCCGCGAAACCACGTCTCAAGCTCAGGAGCCTAACCCAGTGTCTTTCGATCTCCGACACGTTACACCTGCTGTGTGGGAGGCGGTCAATGCAGACTTGGACACAGTACCTTGGAACTCGTTAACTTAATATACTCAGACGTGGACAGTGCACTTCGTATCCTACACAGTGTCCTGCAGACTGTGCTGTCCAAGTACGTTCCCGTTCATGGCTCCCGCAAACCAAATAGAACTTCCTCAAACGTGGCCCAGGGTCCATTTCATTCAGATTTGTTTCTCCTTGCCTCGCGATCGCACTGTGTAGGTTATTGCCTCTTGTAATTTGTATTTTTTTGTTTACATTATTTGTGCTTTATACTGCCCCCCCCCCCCCCTCCCTCCATATTGGCCTATATTCCCTGGCCACAGGAAGGTGAAATAAATAATAATAAATAATACTCAATCTGCGGACAGCATGCTGTTTCGTTCTTTTTGAACTCATCAGCGCAGCACAGAGAATAATAATGTTCACAGGTTTGAGGGAAAGACACAAACATAATAATTATGTGGTAGTTTATAAGTATTTTGTGGAACAAGTGCCAATCCGATAAGCCAAGCTATCAAGTGCTGAAGATATGCTAATGGTGAACTCACCATGACCTCCGTCATATACGTCTTCAGCTTTCCAATCGGGTCATCTCCCTGAACCGTTTGGTTGGTGGTCATAGCGGCCGTGTACGCCAGTCGACTAGCGATTGGTAGTGGCTATTCCGAGCTGATGGTGATCGTGAAGGAGTTCTGTATCTCCCACTACTGCTAGTATTTGTGCTGTAGTATTTCCGTTAGTAAAATCATGTTGAACACTTACTCGAACTAGCCTTCATGCCTCAAACTGAAAATAAGAAGTCCTTTGCACGAAATGGATTATTATTTTTATTCTATCTTTGGCATTTTGCGTCAACGTAAAAAGGGACTTTCCCTGACCGTGTTCATGTACGTCCCGTTGTCCGGGCTTTGACTGGCACTACCATCACACCGGAATCACGTCCTTCACTACACTCCAGTACCATGAGTACTGGCCAGTCAGTATGCCAACCCGAAGCCGGGTTTTCCTTTGCTCGAGCCGGACAGCAAAGCCAAAGATACCAGACTCCAGAGAGATCGCAAAGAACTATGATGTAGCTGGCGACGCTAGCATGCCAATCCGTGAACCCTAAAGTAACACGTTAGTTACTTGAACTAACTTGAAGTAACTAACTAAAATGAATGACGTCATTATGTAGTGATAGTGACTGCGTTGTTCTTACACCACCTACACCATGTACACTGACTCTGTAGGTAGTGTAGCGACTAGTTGGTTTGGAGGTGACAGCGTTGCGAATGACCGAGGGTCCTCGACGTCTGTCTCACCGTCCAGGAGCGACACTGACTCACGCTGCTATCTGGTGTTCACGAGGTGTTTGTCGCGCTGGAAACAGAGCGTCTCTGTAAGTTTGTATCCCTGGTGATGTTTGTGCCTGGAGAGCACTATAATTGGTGCTCTTCAGGCACAATCTTCCTCGGCCTACTCAAGCTCAACTGATGAGGGGTGAATTCCCCGAAACACTGTGTATTGAGCAGGGAGTGGTGCTTTCTTACAGGTTTGCCGAGTCGAAGGTTCGATGGACTTCTCGTGTGCTCTGGATGGCAGTCGTGAGTCAGGCAAGTGTCAAGTAAAGTCGGCGGAATAGCGCGAGCTCCGGTGCGGGGAGCAAACCATTTCTTACAAATCATCGCCGAAGTCGCAACCACTACTTCGTACACTGTAGCTGTCATAATTAAAATAATAATGTTGCATGATCTTGCATCCTAGTCCTACACATCACTGCATGTGTCGTACTCACACCTTCATGATAATAATAATAATGACATGTGCTACATTCACAGTGTATGTCATCAAGGTCATTCCAGTAATCATTACAATACAGTCATTCTGGCCAGCTCACTACACTGGCGCATGCGCAGTGAACAGCTCAAGCAACTTGACGCTATGGCAAAGGGACGACCTCCGAAAGAATTTTCTCCTGGCTATGGTGGAGATACGGCTTGTCGTGCAGCGCTAGTGGAGGCACTCCGCGTAGAATGGGCTGAGAAGTCACTTTCAACACCCGCTGCTTGGAGCAGTGTTGTCACCCATCTGGCGACAGTTGAGGTCGAGACTGGCTGAAAGGGTCGGCGAGTGGACACAACGAGAGCACTCTGCGCTGGTGTAGTGCGGCTGGACCTAGTCACATCCAGATAGGCTTTGATGCATTCCACTGGGCACAGGATCGGATCAGCCGGCAGACCTGGCACAAAGAACTTCCGCGGGCCGCCAGAGCGTTGTGTTTTGGTGACGTGAGTCAGCTCAAACTCGACACCATCTGCCAGGAAGCGCATTGCGCGGATATCCAAGTGACAGATCTCACTTACTCTTGCTGCCTTAGCCAGTGCGAGCAGCATGCACAGCTTCCAGGACAGGTGCGACAGGGTCAAAGCAGTATTCGGGCCCAATGACCGAATGTATTCTAGAACAGTGGCCACGTCCCACGTACGTGAATAGCGAGGCAATGGCGGTCGTTGATTGTAGATACCACGCATAACCCGGACGACGCTAGGCGATTTTCCGACGGGTACATTATCGTGGAGTGGCGGTACGGTGGATGACACCGCCGAACGGTACACGTTCAGGGTACGGTATTGCTTGCCTGCCTCATACTGTGTCGCTAGAAAGTTGGCTAATTGAGTAGGGTCCGCCGATACGGGATCCACACGTCGTTCGCAACACCAGCCCACACACTGTCGCCATGCTGACTGATACGTTGCGTTGGTGCTAGTTCGCCAGGAGGAGAGCCAGAGAGTGACAGCTCCCTGCGAAAGGCCTCGCAGCGAGGCTGCTTCCCGGAGATACTCCATACGGTCAGTCGTAGGCGTTGTGCCTGTGGATGGACTTGTCCCTGTGGGTCCAGAACGTCTGACGATACTAGTCGTAGCGGAGCACTGCAGGACATTCGGAGCAGCTGAGGGTAATAAGCCTGTGACTGCCAGGCTGGAGCCACCACGATTACCCGTCGAATGTCGTGTTGCCGGATGTAGCGAAGACACCGGGTGAGTAGGCTGAATGGCGGAAAGGCATAAGCATTCTCCCATAGCTCTGGAGGGGTGGAGAAGGCATCCACTGCTTCTGCCTCTGGATCTGGACGCCAGCTCAGGTAGCGGGGCAGGCGAGCATTGTGGCGGGCCGCAAACAGATCTACACTCAGCGGGCCGAATGTCTGTTGGATGGTAGTAAACACATGGTACGGGAGCATCCAGTCGCCCGTCTCCTCCACGTGACGGGACAGATAGTCTGCTGTGTGATTCAGGGCTCCTGGCACATGAACCGCTTCCAGCTCCAGGTGTCGGGCTGCAGCCCACTCCAGCACCTGAATCGCAAGCGTACACAGACGCCGAGAATGAGTGCCTCCCTGATGATTGAGGTATGCCACGGTGGTCGTGTTGTCGATTTCCAACCGGATGGTTTGGTTGGATGCGTTGCGGAGCAGGCTTTTCAAACCTAACCATACCGCGATCAGCTCTTTCCAGTTGATGTGGTGCGCAGCTTCGGACTCGTACCATGGCCCACCGGCATGCGCCGTATCCACAGCAGCACCCCATCCTACATTGGACGCATCTGAGCTCATGGTGACCGAGGGTGGGTCTCTGTGCATGGGTATCGGGCACCCCGCCGTCGTTATCCACCAACGCAGGTCGCTGCAGGCCCATTCGTCCAACTGTTGGGTCTCGAGACGGTGTGCCAGAGCCTCGTTCAGCAGGAACTGCAGTCCCCGGACATGAAGCATAGCGAGGTGTACTGCAGGGCGCGCTGCAACCATCTTGCCTGTCAGTGAACGCAGTTCGGCGAGGGTAGCAAATCCCTTGTTGCGCAGGCGACGGCACTCGGAGCGAATCTTGTCCAGCTTGTCGCGAGGCAAGGAAAATTCCATGCGCACCAAGTTCACTTCGACTCCGAGAAACGTCAGGATCTGCGTCGGCTCCATGATAGATTTCTGGCGGTTGACTATGAAGCCCAGTCGTTCTAGGAGGGCTGCCACAAACTGGATCTGCTGCGCCACTAGAGCAGGGGAGTGTGCTATCAACAGCCAGTCGTCCAGATAGACAACCATGAGCAGACCCATTGTACGGAGCCACGCTGCTACTGGACGAAGCACCTTGGTGAACGTGCGGGGTGACTCCGACAGACCGAACGGGAGGCAAGTGTACTGCCATACCTGGTCGTTCCACATGAACTGGAGGAGGCGTCGGCTGTGAATGTGCACCGGTACCGAGTGAAAGGCGTCCTTCAGATCGAGTTTCGCCAACCACCAGTTCGGCTGAACTAGCTCGGGTACGACTGCCAACGTTTCCATCTTGAAATGGGAGTTGTCCACAAACTCGTTCAGCGCTTTGAGGTTGAACACTAGCCTCCATCGACCACCGCTCTTGGGTACCATGAAGTGCGTGCTCTTGAATGTCGCGTCTCGCACTGTAGTGGGCTCGATGCCCCCCCGCTGCTGCCATGTTGGACAGGGCCTCCTGCAGAGCAACCTGCTCCGCCTGAGCCAGGTGCATCTGTCTGGGAGCCTGCCGCTGATGAGGGCGAGCCAGCAGTGGGATACGCAGGCCATGCCGGACGGTACTGCGAACCCATGGGTCCGCCGTCAGTTGCTCCCAGTTCTGCCAGGCCACCGCAATGCGACCAGCGGGTGGAGGTGGATGATGTACCTCCCATCGCCAAGGAACGGGAAGCTGCAGCTCCGATGATGGTGTTGGCGATTCTCGGAGCTGCCCCGCGTGGCCCACTACTGGGCCTGAGGGCGAGGTGGTGACTTGCCCCTCGACCCTGGTGTCCACTGCCCTTGCGGTCTTCCGCGGTGGGGGCGAAATGAGCCTCGGTGGGGCGGCTGCTGGCGATCCCTGCCGTATTGGCGACTGGAGAAGGTATGCAGCTTCGGGGTACGCGATGACTGGAACGCGAACCCCTTTCGCTGAAAACCCGGCTTTGGCTGTGGCTTGCGCGCCAGCCTCTGCGCCTCGTTCAACGTCGCCTCGGATTTCACTTTCGTGGAGATGGCTGAGATAAATTCCTCACCAAACAGCTCCTTCCCAGTGCCTGGCGGTGGGATACCTTTGGTTACTCTTGCCACGTCTTTGTCCACAGCCTCGATGATGGACTGGCGGCGGATGCCATTGATCGAAGCCATCAGGTCTCCGACCAGGACAAGTGTGCGCTGGAGCACGTCCTTGACTTCCGCCGATGGTACGGAGAGTTCCTCCACTGCCGGAACACCTTCCTCTGCCTCGACCAGGGCGGAGAGCATACATGCAACGGGACCAGAGAGCGATGCCACATCACGTTGAACAGCCGCCCACTGCGAGTCGGATGTCTTGGGAAAACGGGAACCAGCCCAGCGCAACACTGTATCATCCACCTTGGGCACATAGGCTGCTGCCGTGTCAGGCCGTGGATGGTCCTCGTGCATGGCCTTCCGCTGCTCGTCAGAGAGCGGAGACCGAAAATACTTCTCAACATAACTCGTCACCGCCTCAGGGGCGTTGAAAAGGAATTTGCGACTCGCCACCGCAGTGGCCGGTGCAAAGTCCAGAGCTCTGGCCGCTCGTTTGGCTGCAGGCTCTCCGATATTACTACCGGTATTGGCTGCATCACCGCTGGACTCCAGGACCTCAGTCCCTGGGCCAGGCAGTGCTTCGTTCTCGGCGGAAACACAGAGCCCTACAGCCCGCTGTGCAGCCGAAAACGGATGCTCTCCAGTCGGAGCTAGCCCGTGCGGTGGTAGATAAAACGACCCATAGGCCGGGTAGCCTCCATGCGGCATGGGCATAGCCGGCACCCCACCACTTCCGCAGACAGTGGGGGATGCGGCAGAAAGCAAATCACGCTGAGTGGGCTGTGGTGGCCTCTCGGGCACAGCATTCCCACTCTGGATCTCTGCAGCTCCACGATTTGCCACAAGCGGGTCGTGCTGCGTGGGACGCGCAGAACCAGCCGTCCCCTGACTGGGGAGGTCACTAACGGATGACATGGCTCTGCAATCAACACGTATGTAGGCTATACGGCTACGTCCAAAGAGAAATAAATCTGCAGCTGCAACAATTTGAAGCGAAGAAAAAGGCCAAAGGAGTGAGGGAAAGGGCGGGAATATCAAGGGGACGAGGTTGGAGTTTGTGTAAATTTTCTCTTTAAATCGCTGTGAATTATTTGAAAAGCGAAGATTTGAGGCCTAACACACACTGTCACATTCGTAGCCGGAGCCTCCGAAGTGTAACTATGATGTAGCTGGCGACGCTAGCATGCCAATCCGTGAACCCTAAAGTAACACGTTAGTTACTTGAACTAACTTGAAGTAACTAACTAAAATGAATGACGTCATTATGTAGTGATAGTGACTGCGTTGTTCTTACACCACCTACACCATGTACACTGACTCTGTAGGTAGTGTAGCGACTAGTTGGTTTGGAGGTGACAGCGTTGCGAATGACCGAGGGTCCTCGACGTCTGTCTCACCGTCCAGGAGCGACACTGACTCACGCTGCTATCTGGTGTTCACGAGGTGTTTGTCGCGCTGGAAACAGAGCGTCTCTGTAAGTTTGTATCCCTGGTGATGTTTGTGCCTGGAGAGCACTATAATTGGTGCTCTTCAGGCACAATCTTCCTCGGCCTACTCAAGCTCAACTGATGAGGGGTGAATTCCCCGAAACACTGTGTATTGAGCAGGGAGTGGTGCTTTCTTACAGGTTTGCCGAGTCGAAGGTTCGATGGACTTCTCGTGTGCTCTGGATGGCAGTCGTGAGTCAGGCAAGTGTCAAGTAAAGTCGGCGGAATAGCGCGAGCTCCGGTGCGGGGAGCAAACCATTTCTTACAAATCATCGCCGAAGTCGCAACCACTACTTCGTACACTGTAGCTGTCATAATTAAAATAATAATGTTGCATGATCTTGCATCCTAGTCCTACACATCACTGCATGTGTCGTACTCACACCTTCATGATAATAATAATAATGACATGTGCTACATTCACAGTGTATGTCATCAAGGTCATTCCAGTAATCATTACAATACAGTCATTCTGGCCAGCTCACTACACTGGCGCATGCGCAGTGAACAGCTCAAGCAACTTGACGCTATGGCAAAGGGACGACCTCCGAAAGAATTTTCTCCTGGCTATGGTGGAGATACGGGCGCAGACTTCGATCTCTGGCTAGAAGATGTCGATGATTATAACTATGAAGATCTGCCAAGTGACGGACCCAGGAGACAAGAAGTGCCTCCCTCTTCTTGAATCTCGCCGGTCTCAACGTCAGAAGGATCGTCAAAGGTTTAGTAGTTCCCGTTCCAGATGATGCAAGTGACGATAACCCGGGAGACACTTACAAAACCCTCACCGAGTCCCTTCGTTGCCATTTTCGCCCGTCCATCAATGCGACGTCAGAGCGGCACAAGTTTCGTCAGATTAGGCAGCTGCCGGACGAATAGGTTTCAACCTTCATGAATCGGCTGAGAGAGAAAGTGGAGGATGTGTAGTTTCGCGTCGACAGATGTTGACACGGTAGTCAATACTCAAGTCCGCGACCATTTAATTGCTGGATTGAGGTCGCAAGACTCGAGGCGCGAACCTAAGCTGACTTTGGCGGACGCTCTCTCGAAGGCAGTCGCTGTGGAAGCATCACTTTTGGACTCCAACTGGTAGTCGTACATGTACTTGTACAACACTCAACAGTGAACCAGGACCTAGTGTAGCAGCATGTGTGAGGCCAGAGACCACAGCGGCTGTGTCAGGCAGTGAACCCAAGCACCAGCTCAAAAGGAAAATGGCGAAAGGTCCTGGCTGCAAGTACTGTGGTCGAATGCATGCCAATGGAAAGCAGTTTTGTCCAGCAGCACATGTCCGTTGCAACAGCTGCAGGAAAGTTGGCCATTTCGAAGCGGTTTGTCTCTCACGCAAGCCTAACAAAGCCAATGCAGTAGATGCGGAGGAAGACAGTGACACTGCACAAGTGCATTAAGTGGTGTATGATTCTATTTTCGCATGCAGCGATAAGGCAGCCAGAGGCCAGTTCACCATGACACTGATGGTGAGCCATGTGAGGGATTGCTTGACACCCGAGCAACGCACACCATTCTCACGGATGATGTAGTGCAGCCTACCCACTCAAGTGACCGCATACTTCGAGCATACAACGGTGGCGAAGTGAAGACTCTTGGCATGGCGGACGTCGATATTGCGGTAGGAGACAACACCATTCTCTGTGAATGTTTCGCTGTACCGGCTGGCAAGCGTTCTGTATTGTTTGGACAAGATGTCATCTACCAATTGGAACTGCTGGTGAATGCACACATGGCAGATACAGCACGTCTTGTTGAAACTTCTCCAGTTTCTATCGCTGTGGACAAGAGCGCTAGACCGGTAGCCCAGTCAGCTCGTCGCCCTCCATTTATCGCCAAAGCCGACATAGAAAAGGAGTTAGCACGTCTGGCTAAGGCTGACATCATTGAGCTCGTGAAGGAAGCATCGCCTTGGGTCTCGCCCGTTGTGCCTGTCCGTAAGTCTAACGGTACACTCCGGTTATGTGTGGATTATAGACGGCTGAAAAAGTCCATCATTAGAGAACGCCATTCTCTCCCAACAGTAGACGAAATAACCAGCGAGTTAGCAGGAGCACAAGACTCTCAGTGCTGGTTGCCGAATCGGGATTCCACCAGCTGTTACTGGAGGAAGAAACACGATCGTTTACAACATTTGCTTCACACTGTGGATTGTATCGATTCAAGAGACTGCCGTTTGGTATTTCATGCGCCCCGAAATCTTTCAGCGAGTGGTATCAGATATTCTAGTTGGCCTGCCAGGTGTTGTTGTCTACATTGATGACATATTGATATTCGGAAGGAATCAAGTTGAGCATGATGCTTGCCTGGCGAGTGTCTTGGAATGCCTGAAGGCAGCAAACCTCAAGCTGAACTGGGCCAAATATCACATCGGCAAAGACCAGATCAAGTACCTGGGCCACACGTTGACCAGAGATGGAGTTCAGCCGGACAGCAGCAAGCTAAGCGCTATCGCCGGCATGGCCGCCCCAAAGACTGTAACGGATGCACACCGCTTCTTGGGTATGGTCACGTACTTAGGAAAGTTTGTTCCTCGCCTGACTGAAGCCACAGAGCCGTTACGCCAGCTGATGAAGCGTGAACCATTCACTGTGAACGATGATCTCCTCAAAGCGTTCTTCACAGCTAAGCAAGCTGTAGTCTCCTCATTGCAAACACTTGCATATTTCCAGCCGGATGTAAACGTACCGACAGCAATCAGCTCCGATGCCTCACCTTTGTATTGTGAGGCTTGGGTAGAATGCTGCTGAAGCATAACACAGCTGGCTGTTTACCGTACACCAGTATGGTAAACAGCCAGCTGTGTTATGCTTCAGCAGCATTCTACCCAAGCCTCACAGCTCAGCTTCTCGACCGTTTGGGGAAGATCAGCAAGGCTGGAGTCAGAGCTGTGTTTCAGCTCCCTCGTCAAACACCGACCGCACCTCTTATTTCTAGATTAAATATTTCCCCACTAATCCATCATTTTAAGCTCAAGATTGTTGTTTTTGTCCATAGATGTCTTGCCTCCAATGCAAGCATGCTATTTTCGCCTTTCTTTCTGTTGATCGCTGACCCTGGTCTTGAGCAAAGAACACGCCGTGTTACACGTGGCCAGGTCTCACGTCTTCTCCAAATTCCATTTGTTCGTGGACCAGCATCTCGAGCGTCCATGCAATTCGTGGGCAGAGTGGATTGGAACAGGCTCCCGGCAAATATTCGTTGCCATGAAGATATTCTGGGTTTCAAAGCCCTGCTGTGCCCAGATGTTCTTGACACGCTTTCTCTGTCTTGACTCATTCGTCAGACATGTGCATTTTGATCTTTTGGTTTGGTCTCTAATCGACAAACTGACTTTTCTCCTCAAATACCTCAACTTCTCTATTTCTATTTCATACATCTGCTTCGTTTATTCCTTACTCTTTTCTTTCTATCTTTTTATTTTCTTTCCCTTGTCATGTAATCACTGTCACTCACATACAAATACCGTCATAAAATAATAGAAAACACGTTTTTCTCCTCTTTTTCTATTTCTTGTTTTTCATTAACTTTAGCATGTTCATTCACATTCTTCATCACTTCATCTTCTTGTGAGAACTAGACCTGGTCTAGTGAGAAGGCATTCTACTGCCTGTAATTCTAGTGAAGTAAAATAAAGTAACAACAACAACAACCTTCTGGTCAGGGAGCTATTCTGTTGCAGCAAAGCAAGTCTGGATAATGGCTGCCGATTACATGCGCCAGCCGCACGCTCACGGACACAGAGTCACGATATTTGCAGATGGAGCGTGAGATGCTCGACATAGTGTTTGCACTGACCCGTTTTCGCCAGTATGTTCTGGGTCGTCATGTACAGGTGTACACTGATCACAAACCTCTCATACCGATTGTGCAGAAGGCATTTGACGATGTGCCGCCTCGATTGCAGCGCTGGTTAGTCGCGCTCATGCCGTACGATTACTCCCTCGAGCATGTTCCAGGGAAGGAGGTCTTCTGTACTGATGCACTTTCCAGAGCCCCGGTAGCGTCTACTGATGCTTCTCCAGCCGAATCGCGTTCTCTCCATGAGTATGTTGGTCTAGTTTTGGAAGCCGCTCCAGTAGACATTGCAGACATTCGTTGTGCTGCACAAGATGATCCAGCAGTGAGCAAAGTGATTCAACGCGTACTGTATGATTCGTGGCTTGACATTTTGCCATCGGAACACCCCTACCATCTCGTCCGTGATCAGCTGACAGTGGTAGATGGCATCTTAATGTTCGGTGGCCGGTTTGTTATTCCTGAAGGTTTACGAACAGCGATCATGATCCTAGCACGCGAAGGACATCCTGGACAAGAGGCCTTCCAAGATACCCTGCGCCAGAGAGTCTGGTGGCCAGGAATGACTAAAGATGCAAGTACATACGTGGAACGCTGCTCTGAATGCTGGAGGAGACGCACCAATAGTCCGCAAGAGCTCCAACCAACTGAGGTAGTTGGCGTCTGGAGAAAGCTGGCAGTGGACATTGTATCCATTGAGGGGCACTCGATTCTCTCCATAGTCGATTATGGCTCCAGGTACCCTATTCTGAAGATAATGCGCTCGACAACCTCAGCTTCCGTCATCAATGAACTTGATGAGGTATTCCCTGCATTTGGTCTTTCCAAGACTTTAGTTTCGGACAACGGCCCTCAGTTTGTCTCTGGGGAGATGTCTTCATTTCTCAGCCGGCTTACTATTACACATGTACGATCCAGCCCAAGGTATGCCCGCTCGAATGGCATGGTGGAGCGTCCGCATCGAGTGTTAAGGGAGAGACTGTCTGCTCTTAAGCCACATCTCCCTTTCCAGAGGCGTCTTAACCAAATGTTATTTGACATTCGATGTTCGAGGCATAGAATGCTCGGTACATCACCAAGTGAAGCTTTGTTCTCTCGACCACTGCATACAAGAGTCCTGGCACAACTCCACCCCACCGTTGTGAATGCCGAGCACCAGCTGAAAGCAAAAGCTGAAATGTCTGCACAACACGACTCCCGACGTGGCGTGAGAATGCTTTCTGAGCTTCGACCCGGCACAAAAGTCACTGTGCAGGACGGGTACTGCGACAAGTCTCAGTCATGGTCCGTGGTGAACCAGTTCGGCCGTCAGGTAGGAGTGACCGATGGCTCTCGCTACCTACTGAGGAATAGGCAGCATGTACGAGAGTTTGTTTCACCGCACCGCCCGGACGATTCTCCACCCATGTCGTCAGCAAACCTGTCTTTCAGCCGTCATGAGGTGGATCTTCAGCGAGCGCCAGCACAGGCGGCTCCTCGGATCGGTCAGACTTCAGTGCCAGAACCAGATAGAACCGGAACTGGACAGTCTGCTCGGATTGGTCAGTCTACAGCGCCAGGTGCTGTTTCTGCATGTCTACCGTCTGTGGATCTGCCTCCGAGCTCGCCATGCCACAACATGCCACTCTCTCAACCTTCATCTGCACGTGAAAGCCAGCCTGCCCCGAAGGAACACACTCCAGCTGCCTCCGGCAAGCACTCATTCGGCAATGGTGCAGTCACTCGCTCAGGACATGTCAAATTTACTGAGAAGGCACGGCTCTACGCAGACAGTTTATCCTAAAAGATTATTGCAACAATGTATTATACTCACTCTGAAAGTTCAACTTGACAACGTTTTGTGTTTTTTTAGGTTGAGTTCCTATCTTCCTCAATTGGGTGCTTTGAAATTGGGGTTATCCATTTCAAAAGACATCATATTGTGTCCTTTCTTCTTTTTTTCAATTCCTTCTATTGCACCCGGCACCGGCTTTTTTGTTTGGGGGAAGGAGTGATGTAGTGATAGTGACTGCGTTGTTCTTACACCACCTAGCTGTCATATCTAGGGTTCCCAGTAAAAAGGCAGTAGCCTGTTGGGACTCCCCTAGTAAAATAATAAAAGCTACTACTACTACTATATGTTGCGGCATTCTACACATCACTGCATGTGTCGTACTCACACCTTCATGATGTGCTACATTCACACTGCTGTATGTTATAGTCTCTTGTCATTCCAGTAATCATTACATTCTGGCCAGCTCACTACATTGAACTGCTAAAAGCAATACCTACATCTCCTATCGCCGCTCCGGCTGACGATCCCAACCAATTTGTATTACTTCCCATCATGCATCATTGCTTGTGATAATGGGTAGACCTACCATGTTCCATGACTACATGTAGATCTTCCAGACGTACAATGTCATGTAGATCTACTGCACAGCCTGAGGACGCCACTGGTACGGCCATGGCCGTACCAACTTCCCAAAAAGTCGGTCCACGTGGAACGTCCAAAACCGGGGAGAAAAGTTTCGATGTATGATTTTGTACAGGGAGTTGCCCAGAGTGCAGGATTTGCCGTCTAAATTCCAAAAAAAATTATAGGGGAGGATCCCCAGACCCCCCCCCCTAAAGATGGCCCTTCGGCCGCACCGCCCCGCGGAAGCTGCTTCCGCCTCTGTACAGTGAGTTGTCTGGTGGTTACTAAGTAGATCTACCTTGCAGCATGAAACTCGGAGTTACAGCGAACCAATCAAAACAGGTCAACGTCCTCCTCTGAGTCTGCTATGTCCCTTTTTGTGCATATCAGTTTGCCCTGGTTACTAGTCACAGCACCGCCGGAAGCAGTTTTTGATTGGTCCGGTAGTTTCAGTGTCTTTCATACTTTGTGTACGAAATGGGTGGGGGTACACATGACCTCCGTAGTAGTGAATACATGTGTTGGTGGTTATATTGGTCCGGTGATAACCTGATCATGTATACTTTTAAGTGAAGTACCTGTACACTATTGTGCCGGGCTACTCAAAGTAATGACAATCTCATGAGAACATTCGGCTTGGAACCGGTCATGGAACGACCTCACCCGGGCCTTTGTCACGGTGTGTATACTTCAAAGTAAGTATAATAAGTGTGCATGCAGCCAATCCTTGTTCATAACTTCTAGTTAATACTACAAGAGTTGGGTTAGGAACTGATGATAGTTACGATCGTACAACATAGTGAGACGTGGATAGTGTGATAAACGGCTAATTCGTAATTTCTAGTCACGGTTTCAGAAAGATACAGCTAAATATCCATTGGAACTCGTTTAATTAAAATAGAGGTTAAAATATCGTGACATAAGGCTAATGAGTAACACTTCTCAAAATACTATCTATACTGGATACTGGATACGCTCAATTAACAGTAGTCACGGGAAAAGTACACAGTTGGCATGCATGTATGCTTTGTGGCACCTACGGTGCAGGAGAAAATTAGAAATCCTCAGGATAGGACAGCCCTCGATGGGCCCCCCATCAGACTCACTTGATGAGCTTAGCAATGTTCTTCATTGTGGTCCTGGAATGCAACTCGCTTGAGTCCAGTCTTCTTGGAGCGTGCCTTTGTGTAAACATCCACCTTTGCAGATCTGAAATTCTGATTTTCTTTGTCATCGGTTGGATGTGAGACAGCATAGATGCCATCCAATTTCTGTTGAAAGAAACCACGCACACATAGGCAGATCCTCCATGAGGGACCTCGGACATAATATTTCCCTGTAAGGGAAGAAGTAGGAGTGGCGCATGAATTCTAGCCCGTTCTGCGTAGGTGGTACTCAATGTGCAATGAGCTCATTTTGATGAGGGTGGTGAACATCTCTCCACAGCCACCTTCCTAACCCTACTGGGACCGAAGTCGCGTATCCAATCCCCAGTGGGCCTCCTGGCGGTGGAAAATTTCGAATGGAACATGCAGCCCTACAACCTAATGCCTGGATAACAAAAGCTCTAACAACTTTGCCAGCCTCGTAAACTCCATGTTTAGCCATCGCAGGTATTCCTAGCTATGCTGCATTGAGCCATATATGGCTGAGACATGGTTATGATTTTTTAAATAAATAAAATTGGTTTTATAAAACACTCACCTTGGCCACAGTTTTGGGAAAAGGAGTTGGAGGCTTTGTCATCGGTGCCCTTGCAGTCGGCGTAGATACCTCAGTGATATCGGCCAGAGGCTTGCGCAGAGATAGGACTGGATGGCCGCTGTGCACCCGTCGGCCACTCGGGCGAGTACTGATAGGTGACTGGACGCCAGGTGCAAATCGAGCATGCTTCATCTTGGCTGCTGGCCTGGCAGTTATCTTCACAGGGAACAGGTCGGGGTTGGCCGGCTCTACTGGAGTTTTCTGCAATTCAGCAGCATGTGCAACAACACATTCACTTATGAAAAACCATGATACTTACTAAGAAGTGCATGACATATTCACTGAAACTGTCCTTCTGACAACGGGGTGGGAATTTTGGGAAGGGGCGAAACGAATCTTCCAAATGGAAGTAAATTGAATACTTTCAAATACCAAAACGTCACGGGACAATCACGGTACCTCCAAGGGCCGTACAAATCGGTACTTTTTAGACGGGTTACTGAACGGCCTCCGCTGAGTCTGCTATGCTCTAAAAAGCTCTGTCTATGACATTGAGCACTCTCTGCAGCTCGGGGATCTACGGATTTGTAGACAGGTTACTGTATATAAAAGTGGGTCAGAGGACTGGTGTAGCAAATACTAGCAATACGCAAGGTCCTAAAAATAGGTACTTTATAGCCCATAGCATGTTACTGTGTATCCAGGGTAATTGAAGTACTTTCTACTGACATTTCACTGAAGTCTGTTTGTGAAACAAAGAATGACACAAGAGGTCTCAGTAGCAGATTGATTTACCTTGATAGGAGTGCCCTGTGCCATGGTCCAAAAACTGGCTGGGTTGCTTTCACCGGGTGGTGTGTTTTCCTTATTGGCAATGGCAGTGTCGGAGTCCAGTATGTTGACAGCATGCTGGGCTGTGCTCATGTACGTTTCCCTACTGGCCATCAACTCACTAAAACTATCTGACAGTGCAGCATTCGGTGATATTGGTTCCTTGAACGGGGTGAGGGAGAATTTTGATGAGATCGACTGATTGGTTGCACCCTTTCCCACCGGTATTGGCGAGGAAGAGCGGGCATAACCAACGAGAGCCTTGGCTGCTTCCTCTATATTGCCTAGCTTTGGAAGACCAGATCTTCCTCCAATCAAGATAGCCTCACGAACTTCCTCCTCGCTGTGCAGGCAGAGAGGTGCAAAAGAGAAACCATGCATTGTGCCACATTCATATGTGCTGTGACTTGTGGCAGTCGTTCCATTCTCTTTGTACTTTACCAAAATCATGCACAGTGTTTCAAAATGGTTGCGAACGTATGGGAGGCACTCTATAAATGATGGTAAAGATGGCAACTGGACTAGAGATAACTTGGCTCTGAGATAGTAACTTTCCATTTGCAGTAGCCCCCCCCCCCCCCCCCCTCACAACCACCACTAAAAAGTAAGTCTTGCATTTTCAGCTGAAGAATCCTTCCCACATTATACTTCACCTGGCAAAGCGATACTTTAGCTCTCTTCCAGGAAGAATGGTATAAAAGCGTCTGCTCTTCAATATTGGCCCACAGCAGATCTCAGCATCGTCTCCACATTCAAAGGCAACCTTGATCCCTGTATGTGAGCACAGTGACACAAACCCATGAATATACTCGATACTCGTAGTATGGACATCACACTTGTTGTTTTAGACAACATTTCTCCATACCTGCCAGCCTTTGCAAACCTGATGTCGGGACGGTCCCGGCCAAATCGGGATGGTTGGCAGATATGGTTTTCATCCACCAGACTTACAGAAAAACACTGGCACCAGTCTGCATTGAATAAGCTGTGCCTGTTTACCTAGGTTTCTTTTAGGAAAATAGTCCACTTGAACGGAAACGTGTCTCACCAAACAGTAGTGTACGCTCATGCACAAGGCATTGCTGCTAGGCCGAGTGCCTTACAAAGCATAACTTAGCATCACTAATAGTCTATGATCTATGCCGTCCAGTCTCAAAGTCAGGCTCCTAAACATTAGTAGCTAATAATCCGGGTGGCACATCGCTGAGGTTGCTTACACTGTACCTGAATGTCTCTCAATGATGTCCGCTAACGCCTTGGACGGAAAAGGAGTGCACGAGGCTAGGTCTATCGGGATCAGACCATTCGTGGTGGATGGTGCAAGCAACATGCCACCAGCACAGACCAGCGCCTCTACGATCTGTGCGTTGCCACTGAAGCAGGCCACGTGCATTGCAGTCATGCCACCATATTGATTCCTGGCTGGTCTGCAAGCAAAAACCGAATAGGAACGGATTCACCGTACCATCATACTTCAGCAGTACAGTGTATACCTGTGCTGTTGATCTACATGACAATGTCATGTCTGTATTTCGTAACGCTAGGACTCAGGACAGGAATGGAACATTACGATAGGCGTCAGCCTTTGGGTAATCCTGAAATAAAGATTATTATATTATCATCCTCAATACCTTTGTCTCCCTGTATTTTCTGTTTCTTCGTGGTCCTGAATGCCGGCACAAGCGAAAGTATACAAACCCGCTTACATTGCGAAAGTGCTATAAATGATAATAACAACAATATTCAGCAACAACATAGAGCTCACCTGTTAGGCGAGCAATCTTCCTCCAGAAGATAAGAGACAGCTGCTGGGCTCTTACTTTCACACGCCGAATGTAATGGTGTCCAGCCATCGATGTCCTCTAAATCAGAAAGCTTAGGGACGCGTACATGGTCGAAGGAGCGACCTGAATCTGCACCGTGACATGGCTTTTCATTATCACCTGCATCGCCAAAGTCCAATTCCTCCAGAATGGACGAATTGAGTGTCCGAAGAGCAGTCTCATCATTCAGTTTAGATGCTAGTATAAGATCGTGCAGCAGTAGGGGAAATCTAGGAACATTCTTTGGTTTAGAAGCAGCCGTGGCCTCCGTTATCTCTTGGAACTGCTTTTCCTGGGTCAGAAGAGTACTTCTTTCATTCATACTTGACGTTTGTCTTGGACAGAACTAATACACTACGCATGATTTAGCGCCATCAAAGAGCCACTGTTTCTAATGTCATTTTTGGTCACGGAAGTTGAAAAGAAGGAACAAAGATCTTGCTGTCTTTTTTTGGTTCTGTGCCGCACGGGAGCAGTTGATCCACGAAATGCCCCGTAGATAGATCTACGTAGCTACCGTCACTCATAATCATGTCAGTTTGCTTGGTGATTTGGATCTATATATGAACCTTGAACCACGACCTCCGAGAGTCCATGCACTTCGACCTGTAGATCTACCAGGCTCTACATGTAGGCTCTACTGCCATGCATATGCCTGCCTGATCGATCTGAATACTGTAGTACACTGTCTGTAGTCTGTAGGTCTACATAATACCAAGACTGGCAAGAGTACATAACCCCGGGGTTATGTAGTCTTGATAATACATGGGTAGACTGCATCGTCGATCGCGAGTAGGCCTTGACGGATTATGCTAGAATGATTTCTCGCATAATTCCTACCAAAATCGAATAATCGCATATTTCGAGGCTATTTAATTGCATCCGAATCGCATAAATTGGAATAATCCGCCTTTTCGCATCAAATAATTCCATTCAGTTGTACATGTTCTACAACAGTACAAGTACAAGTACAAGTAGATGCACCAGGAAGTAGGGCTTGGCGGATAATGCCGGCAGAATTTTCGGCAGAAAACGCCTGTTTGGGGGGTCGAGCATAATTCGGCAGAACGGGGGCTGAAAAAGCATTCTCTGCCATGTCAAATGACAGTTACCACGGAATTGGCGTGCGACGCTCTGCTTTTGCAGCAGATTTGCCGCGTTCTTCGACACGCAGTCCATCCATCCACCAAATGTGGCCGGAACTGTTACTTTGCGGAAGGTAGCAGCCTTGAATGGCAGGCCAGTGGCAGAAGTCTACGAGTCGTAGATCTACATAATATGGCCCAGTTGCAGCGATTTTCGACCTTCGGTGAAAAAGCCCGCTGTGTGAAAAGATTCAAATCAAATCATCTTTTGCTGCGGACGGGTATTCCGTGGATCACGACACCAGTGAAGTCAGACTTGAAAATGTTCGCAAAACAAGCATTTTGTAACGAAGGTCGAAAATCGCTGCAACTGGGCCATATTATGTAGTGTGGCTAGCCTTCATCTGAAGTACGCCTGCGCCGGCCACATGTGTTCTTTTTCATTCCTTGTCTAGTATTTCACATGACTCATCTTTTTAGATCCTGAACCCAATTATGTGTGCCAAGTGTATTTTTACATAACTGGATTTCAGCAGAAATTTCAGCAGAAAATGCACTTTCATGAGCAGAATATTGAGCAGACCGAAAAGCAGAATGAGGGATTTCGGCGAGCATTATCCGCCTAGCCCTACCAGGAAGTCGGAGGTTTACGACTCCCTTGATAATAATTATGTCCAGTCCACTACAATCAGTGACGTTCGTAGCTAGGTCGGACGGTGCGTTGACCCCGTTGAACTTTGGCTACTGCAGTACAACGCCCTCTACAAAAAATTACCCTGTTATTTTGCACAGAACCATCATGTACATGTACATTAGCAGCATATGTGAGCATAATGCGGCATAATATGATAACTTTTAGCATAAAAATAGCATAATTCGAGAATTTTTTCAGCAATGCGAAAAGCATAATTTCACGAAATATTAGCATAATCCGTCAAGGCCTACGATCGAGTACTGCGAAGTGCGAGTAGACCTACCAGTAGACCTACCATGCATGGCTTGCTAGGGAGCAGGGCCGGGGTATACCGGTAAGTCTTAGCGGATTATGCTCGGAAAATGACCAGATCTAGATCATGCTCTAGCGCCTAGCGGATGCTCGAGAAAACAGCCAGTTACGCTTTTATATGCTTCACCAAAAAGACCAAAAGAGGCTAACAGATAATCATCATGAAAAAAAGGACTCAGAGTCAGACCATTGCCATGATGACTTTGATGTGGACTGGGAGCTTTGTGGAAGTACAAGACAATGATTATGTAAGAGGAATACCACATTCACAAGCGAACGCTGAACTTTTGGGAGATGCCCCTATACGTGGCTGTTAAAATATTATTCCAAATCGACAAGAAGCGCTATGTATGGTCCTTTGCACGTGTGTATAATTAATTATTAATTATAATCATTGGGCATATCTGGCCATGTTTTTCTGATGCCATGTTATGCTCCTTCTCAAAAAAGATGTGATTTAATATGCCAAATATTATGCCTTCAATAATTATGCCTTCAATATAGCAGGTGTGTATAACAGCCTCATTGGGCATCTGCAATCTGCCCTAGTTTTTCGGATGCCATGTTATGCTCCTTCTCAAAAAGGACCTGACTATGCCAAAAAAAAGTATGCCGGCATAATCCGCTTACCACTACCAGGGGTGGTATAAACAAAACCAATTCATGCCTGCGATGCTGCACCGCTGCTTTGCATGTCATGATTGGAAGCTGTGGCCTTAGTAAAAAATGCCGCGGATCAGTTTTTAAAATAGTTACAATGTAGATTCTACATGTACATGTAGATCTACACCATGATTAGGCATTATCAATAACGTAGATCTACAACAACTATTAAAGTATTAGTTACAGTAGTAAATGTTTCAACAAGATGGAAAGTAGATGTACAGTCATGTAGGTTGGTTTCACCAGGGACCCCGGATTGCAGCCTTGCAGAGTAGATCTACGGCCGTAGATCTACGGTTAGGGTCCAGCGGATAATGCTCCGAAAATGTTCGTATAATGCTAACCATGATGCTCCAAAAACTGCCTTATAATGCTGATTATAATGCTTCAGCAAGGGATATAATGCTCTTGGTTTGGGACAAAAATGGAAGAAAGTCTGCACATTGTCAAACTTCCAGGAAATTATGCATATCGTCAATCTCCATCTGAAGTTGCCACCTTATCTCTCACGAGCTCCACTACTTCTTAGCACTATAAGACATGATCGCTTCTCCATTGATTGCTCTCCATTCCAACTTTGATGCAGGGTTGTGGCAGAATAGTCGGTGTATCAATTATCAAATCCCTCCCCTAATTATCCATGTAGTGAGAGATGAAACCATTATTGCAGGTAGTCATTCATTGTTGGGATGAAATTAATCTTGGCAAATAGTATTCCTGCCTGCAGACTAGGCACCAGCGGATTATGCCGGCAGACTATTGGCATAATTTGGAGGTTGAAAATTTGGAGCATAATGAGGCATCCTTTCGGAGGTAGGAGCATAACTACATGGTTGTACCACAATTCCAGTATGTAAGCTACACAATTGTGTACAATGCAACTGATCAGTGCTGGTGGTCCGCATGGTAAAGGGTTCGGAGTAGCCCTTTTCCAAAGATGCTGGCCACTTTTTTCGCAACTTTCCGTTGTTTTGCAAGAAATCGCAACTTTCTTCATTTTCACAAACTACTTCGCACCTTTTACGAAAAGGTGTGCAGAGAAGCGCGCTGGATCGAGACCATCGACTGTGCAAGCTATGGTTATTCTAATAATTAAAAAAATGAGGTATAGGTGATGTTCGGTCATATTGGAAGGAGAGGTGGAGCTACGGGAGAGATGAGCTGATTTTTCGCAGGGTGAGGGTGACATCGGTTGGACGAGTATGACGGTTACGAAGACAGTTGAACATGATAATTTTCAAAGGTAACTCAAACTAATTTAGCAATGAAAAAATCTTTTTACAAAAGAAATTAACTAATGAATAGAAGGAGTCATGTTTTCTCTTTCCATGTTGATCTCTAGCATGCATGGTCATCTTGGTATGGGGATATTCATGTATTTTGTTGTACTAATGGCCACTTGCAAGTACGAAAAGGCACAATTTTCCGAACTTTGAGGCTCCATAAGTACAACAAAGTGAGTATGTATCCCTGCGTGCCAAAGCATAATATGAGGATTTCGCGAGCATAATGCGAGAATCCATGAAAGCACAATTCCATGATTTCGCGAGCATAATCCGCCGGAGCCTACTGCAGACAAGCTGTCACTGCGTTCACTCTGTGAATCATGTCTTCATCTGAAACATCAGACGTGAGGCCAGCTCCTGAGATCCGATCTCAGATGGAGAGCCCTCCCATTTGCGGAAATCCTGAAAACATGTGGTCAGAAGTTGTTTTGCCACTCTAGATCCTTTGCTTGTGCTCTCATCTTCTCCTTGAGATGGCGTGTAGACGTATGGCTTGCCACAATACTCTTCCTTTCTGATAGCATTTGACTGTAGGCCTGGCATTACAACTAGGGCTCAAACGGTCACGGTTTTACCCCTAACGGTTAACTGCTAAGCTAACGGTCGGTTTAACGGTTATAACCTATAAGCCACGGCAATCCTGCGGACTCTTTTTTAACCGTATATTTGACTATATTCATTCAAAAAATGTACCCTATTCAGTACAACGCACACATGTACATTCTCTTGCATGCTTTCTTTCCTTGTGTTTCTTATTATTCCTTTTTAAAACCCACATTTCACACTCACTTTGCGCACTTTCTCTCGCATCCTTTTAAAACTATGTTACTAGTACATACACAAATAGGAGATCCCCCAGATAGGCGTTAGTTAGCCTTTGGGTAATCCTGAAATAAAGAAAGATTATTTATGCTCATTCATACATACTCTCACACCAAGAGACCAGATATGACCGAGTTGACAGCCCAGAAATTGCGTACGCGTGCGACAGCCTGCGAAAGTGCATACTTTGCAACGACCTGATACTTGCAAAATTGACTGAAAAGTTACTGCGTAACCGTTATCTTTATCGGTTAACCGTTAATTCTTCGTAACCGGTCTGCAACCGGTTAATCGGACTAATCGTTTGAGCCCTAATTACAACCGTCCACAACTAACTGTACGTGCTTCATCAGGAAAGTGCTGCTGAGCAATCGACTTGGTACTGAGTCCATGAGAAATAAATTCTAGTTCTTTTCGAGCCTCCTGAGCTGGACTCGGCAAAGGCAGTTCTTTTGGAACGAGCTCTTTCAGTTTATAGCAGCTCCTTCATCCTGGTCCAAATTTAGCAATGCATCTCTGACTACTTCAGTATCGCTACAGATGCTATCTCCAGAGCCTCTGGTACAACTAGAAAACTCATCTTCGTCTGTTTGATATTCACTTCGCGTATGTCTCCTCCATAGCTCTCCATTATTCTAAACGTAAAAGAAACCTCGTAAATAATTTCTCCGGATTTGTGTCACTTGAACTGCCTCGGCCTCGGTTGGGCATGCTTCACAAATGGCTTGTATTATACATTTACCTGACCACATTGCTACAATCATAACGTTTTATGTAGCAATAGTTATGTAGCGTTAGTGCTAAAGGTGTTACGTGTCTACACAATCACAAAGTCATGCGCCGGTACAATGCATAGTGCTCAAATGCCCGGAATGGGCGGAGCGTGGTACGCAAGAGGTACACAAAAGGTAAAATAGGGCTGTTTCGTTGTTACTCAGAGTTTCATGGGAAAAACCAATCATCAGACAACATCTCATGATCATGATTGTAGCCGATTGTTGCCAAAAACCTGGGATTTCCCGATATTATCCACTATAAAACTCGTTATGCCGCTCAAGCCTCACATAATGCTCGTTTTGTTCCTTTCTAATGCTCCATAATGCTCTGATGCTCGGATAGTCGTATAATGCCGGCATTATCCGCTGGACCCTATCTACGGTACGGCCCGGGTCAACCATGATGACCTACAAGCTACGAAGTACATGTACATGTGATTGTATATACATGTATCTCGCCCCGGATTCGGTTCAGCAGCTCTGTGCCGGTGGAGTGCTAGCTTCCAATCACCATGATCACTGTGAAACGGACACTACTCACTAGCACTAGTCACCATGGTCACTGTCACAGTGTCAGTGACCATGTAAATACAGGTGGAATCCTGATAATTCGAACCTCCAAATGCCAGAAAAAAACTTCTAATTATCCGGACATTCTAATTATCCAAACATGAACCCACAACACAGTACATGTATGTGAAAATGCTCCCTTGGTCACGCAGAGCTGCGCTATGGCCCAGTATGGGCCATAGAGACACAGATCTCACGGATACTGAACTGACAGGCACAGCCAGCTCATGCAAACTGCACTGACCAGTACAGTGTACAGTGAACTTCGAATTACACATAGCTAACTTCGAATTATCAGCACAAATCCCACACATTTTCTATGTAGGTGGAATTCGAATTAACCGGACATGTCCGGTTCGAGGTTCGAATTATCAGAATTTTTTATGTGGGAATCGTATTGACAGAAATCGGTCCTGGAAAAACTTCTACATGTATATCAGGATTCCACCTGTACTATAATATTATTGTAATGACCATGAAACTACTATAATAAAATTTATTAGACTTAGTATTGGACAAAAGTCAACCAAACTTCAACACAGTTCAAGTACACTGTTCAAAGCCAAAGGAGGGGACAATCACCATGACACGATGCGAACCGCTGCCATTACCATGGTACCTGCAGTGGCAACAGTAAACTGTTGCCACTGCACTGCGTGCGCGCGCTGCACATGCCGGCATGGTAGCGTCTACAAAAAATTACGGTGGTACTCAAGTAGTAGTAGTAGTAGTAGTGTAGAGCTTGCATCAATCCACGCAGGCTTTCTATTCCTCGAGTTGGAACACATCGTTGTGAACGTTCGCTCTGAAAGTGTTGGTAACGACTTCTCCATTCACCCAGCAGTACTGCAGTGAAATAATTCTCGCCTGCAAAAACCCACTGCATTAGTTACTTGTACACCAGACTGGGGTAGACCTTCACATTGATATCGCCACTGCGCGGTGTAGTTGTTGGATCGGAGCAACGCTTGATCAGTGTGACATCCGTCCACCAAGAAGCAGGCACAGCGTAGGACAATTATATTCCACTACATAGGCGTCATGGCCGAAGCGGGCAAGAAAGAGAAGGAGCCGATCAACATTGTCCACCAGAACGCACAGTTCCGTGAGACGGTGCACAAGGAGCGCAAGAACCAGAAAGTCTTTCAGGACTATAGCATAAACCCTTACAATAAAGGTTAGCTTAGCGGCAGCACACGCAGCACGATGATAAGCTCTGATCGTACATGCGTGCCATTACTAGGATAGCATACTACCAATAGGCACTACACTCATACATGTATCTCGCGTACCTGTATCCGAGCGGTCCGTGACCGAGCACTACCCATCATTTTGAAAATTAATGTCTGTAAGTCTGTCTCTAATCCACATACGTTTCAATGGGGAAGGACCAGAGATCTAGTATGACATCACAATTTCCAACTAACACATGTTTACTGCTGAGGAGGTAAACATACGTTAGTTGTCAACACTAAACAGTGATGGCCTGACCAAGCGGACCGGTTCCAGCTGGCCTGTTTTACTCTGCTGACCCTCACACTGTTGAGCGTGTGTACGTTTTAAACATGTGACGTACATTGTATTAGGGGCCATCCGGCATTATCGTTACTGATTTTCACGGAACGGAAAAGTTTAGTTAGGACCCTCCCCCACTCTCCCCCCCCCCCCCCCCCCGAGCGAAAAATAGATTGACTGGACAGCTAGATCGCATTGGTGTCTCACATTATCAATATTTTTCAAAACGAAACTCTCCTTGACAGGGCCGTAGCAGGCGGTCCGGCAGGTCCGGCAGGTGCCGGACCAATATTCGGCCAAAAAAAAAAGAAAAAAACAGGAGCTCACACATGTAAGCAGCTCAGGATGTCCACCCATGATATGTGCAATAAGTAGAGGTAGTGAGGTATAAGTAGAGGTAGTACATGGTAATAGCAAGAGGATATACTTTGAACTCTAGTAGTACATGTTGTTGCGAATACCATGTACATTATAACATAGATCTACATCTATGTGGGTGGTGTCCTGTACTTTATGACCTCCAGCCATTCCTCCATTGCAATGTCCTTTCTCCTCCTCCAAGGGACCAAAGGTCCATTTTTGGTTCTTTTATCACATGCGTTTAGATAATGTTGCTATGCCTTCATAGGCTTCAACAAGTTCTGTTTGGACGGACACAACATGCTGATGCCCTTTTTCCTGAATCATGCAGAACATCCTTCTTCCTTTTCTCGCCCTATGTCACTCTGCATGGTCACGATTACATGCATGTACATACACCGGCGTACAATCATGTACATGTTGTACCTGTACATGTACCGGCATATGTCACGTTAGCACTAGTACAGTACTAGGAGTGTGGGCTCGGGGGGGGGGGGGGGGGGGGGCATCGAGGTCGGATCTTGCCGGACCAACCAAAATGGGGCTGCTACTGGCCTGCTTTACCCACCCACCCATAAACGAAACTTTTTTCTTTCTTTTTGGACTGCCCCTTACTGCCGGCGTGAATGCACTGTACACGTTGTTGAGGTGGCTAACGAACTCTGTCGTCACCGTGTGAATCCACAGCCTTCTCGCTGAGCGGAAAGCCAAACAGCAAGCATGATTCTGCTGACGGAGAGGAAGATGGTAAGATATTGTTGTATGGCTATAAAGGCTTGGCATGTCTACTGAGATTGTATTATGAAGACACGATGAGCCTGGACATTTTTTCTGGACCATCAATGCAGCACCTTGCACACTGGCGCTTAAAATGCATCAAGTGTAATACTGGTGTATTGTACATGAGAGGGTCAAGTTCACTTGTGCTGGCATTTGTGTCTCCCCTCCTCCTGAACAGAACCGTGAGCAACAAGTTTCACTATCAAGAATATGATTGTAATGTACTTCGAATTTCTGTTCTTCCATTGTGTACGATCTACCAGCCACTTTCTTGAAAGTGTATCGTCAATCAATCCGGGCACCACAGGAAAAGTACGACTTCCCGCAGACAGAAGCACAAGAAGTTGGCTGGGACAACAAACCATTGGTGAGTAGCTATGCAGCAATACACTTTCACGAAGTTGGGTACATGTATTTGTATTCCAGAAGTCTTTGCCATTTCCTGTACATTACTGTGTCAACGCTGCTATTCTACTGTTAGTACTACGGTACACACACATATGATGTGATAAAGCGATAAGGAACAGCGTTGAGCCGTGAATACCGTTCACTCTGCACAGCATGATAAACGCCAAGGAGTGCATAAAAGGAATGTGGGAAATTATCCGGAACAGGCGAAAACTTAAAAATTGCAAATTTCTGTTGGCTTTCACTTCAATGAAGCTTGATCCTTGTACTGTATCAGCAAAAAAATTCGCCGGGAATATAATTTTGCCTTTTTCGTCTAAGGAGTTTTGAACTAAATCAAATGCCTGGCTAATGTCGATTTGTCCAGTATATTCGAGTCCTGATGGTGACAGCCAATTTTTCCTTCAGACTTTTCCCGTTTGCATCTTTCCCTCAAACCAATGAATGTCCAGTATATGAATACATGTCATGGTCCATGGACGAATATTTTGACAGAGTGTTCGGTGCTTGATTTTATCATATTCTATGGTGGACATGAAGTGATTGTGATTCATTCGACCATGGGACTACCTGTATGATGTGTGTGAGTGTTTTTGTGTGTTTTGTTGCTGTCCGCCACACGTCTAGGTGAAGCCCGTACCACTCGATGACCGCCGATTGCAGCACGGACACCAGTGGACTGGAGTCACGCAGTACATGGAGGCCGTCTGGACTGCTAATCGCCACAAGAACGAGGAATCTGAGTCATGAGCAACGGTTGACCCCTCCGCATGACAGCAGCACAACATTGTTCTGGCTGTGCCCCGAGATGTGCACAAGCTCAGAGGATCTACAGCAGCAAGCAATTGATACTTGTTCAGTATCGACAGATAACATTGTCATATCAAAACAGCCATATACCTATTAGTCAATAATAAACCTGTCTACGAGAGTCAGACTCAGAAACTACTTTTAAAAGTGCAATCACTTATACTGCGAGTGCAAGGATGAATTTGTTGAGCACATGCTATAATTATTGATTTTAGCTATCTCCAAAGTATTAGACCAGCCTACATGTATATCTTTGTCATGATTGCTGTCACAATAATTATCATTATGTTGTTCTTCCAAGGGGACACGGCTTGAAAGTGCTGCGTCAAAACCAGGCTGGAGTCATGACACGGTGCTGACGTTTGGATCCACTGACATGGGGGACTGTGATCCACCTTTTCAATGTGTGGAGTCTATGCATGTTTGGGTAGCTTCCTTCACAGCAGGGCGACATCCTGATCCAACGGAACTGATTGTACTTGGCCCTCCTGGTCGCGACCCCATGGCTGGTACAGGAAAAGTCACATCGGCACGTGACATGAGGGACCTGCCCATCAGGTACCACACTTTGCTATGGTTAGAGTGGGTCCAGTTTCAGCCAGAAGTCGTTTCTAATTTTAATGACTTCTGACGTCATCCTGTTCAATCCCTATTGACTATTGTGCAGAGTTGGTCTCTCGTAAGTTGGAGCTAGGGAGTGGCAGCATCTAGGGAGATGGCACGGCACCATACCTCCGCTGTTGCGTTCTTAGTGTTATTTTAGGCTGGACGTTCTTGAGCTCCATGTTCCCCGGCGCGCGACTCTACTGTAGAACGCGAAACGGTGTGCGTTTCGACCCTGGATTCAGACATTCTACTTGGCCTCTGGTCTATTATCGACTATCGGTGTGCAACTCGCAATGTGATCTCGGCCTTGACCTGCTGACCACCGAACATGGCCCAGCCCAACGATGTCTTACTAATACGAGTCTGCATAATTAATTTATTATGCATGTATCAGTCCCGCCCCAAAAGGGATCGGCCCTGCCCCCTGCCCCAAAAGGGTGACTGGTATGGGCAGCCCGGGGAGTGAAGCCCACACCTTGTCGCCCGTGTCATCACCCTAGAAGCTATGATTCCCTGTTCGAAAATGAGCGACTTGCACGTGCCGTTGTGCGCAATACAAAATTAGAGGAGAAAATAAAACATCAATATAATTACACAGAAGCACGCAATAACCCCCCCCCCCCCCCCCCCCCAACTCATCATAATAATGTGACGGACCCCACGATAGGCGGTCAGCCTTTGGGTCATCCTATTAGTTATTATTACTATTATACACGATTATACACATTACTGCATGTTGTCCCTAAGTGTTCTGCACTGCTTACACGCACACACACACACCTATTCGAATTCTATACTTTAGAATTCTCATGTTTCTCTCATATTCATAATTATTATGTTCGTTCTTAGTAGGAACCGGAGGTTTTGTCTGGTGAGAAGGCAGAATTGCCTGTGCTCTAAGAAACAAACAAAACAAGTACATGTACCAACACGGACATTCGCACTAGAGCCTCGGGGAAGAAACGGGTAATGGTACTAATATACAACACGCACAGCAGGTGGGAAATGAGAGAAGATTCTATTGCTCAAACACCAAGCAAGACCAGGAACGTCTTTAAGTGGCACAATGGAAAGTGAAAGTGAACATGTGCATGCGTGGGAAATGGCTTACCTATAAAAAAAATACTGGGCAGAAGGCTGTACAACAATGCGATTTGAGCAGGAGACATTACTCGTAGAAACCGAAATGAATATGTGCGCGGGGTGGGCTGCCAGCGTGATGCTATATTGCACTATACATGCGCAGCTAAACAGAAGTGCAGCAGTAAGCCATAACCGGCAGATGCAGGAAGACAGGTCGAACGCGTACTAGTATCATGCATCTCACGAGAACACACCAGATATCGAACAGCCAAGTGCAGTGTTCTTCGTTTCAAAGAGAAGCAAGAATTCTACTTTTGCTCAAGGACCAGGATAATATTGTGTATCGATACAGAAGTGTTATTGAAGAAAGAAGTCCACAGGGTTGAAACACGTCGATTCCATAAGAAGCATGGTTGGAAGAATATGGCAGAGCACACCGCATATACCATGAGGCTGCACACTGCTCAGGAAATGAAGCAGATCGGTTGATCAGAGTAAGAACTGCTCCTGCTCAACTGGCTTGTGAACCCAGGCTCCCAAACCATCATTGGCTAGCTTGTTGAACAAGGCCAACTTACACTCCTGGTAGCGGTGTGACATTGACTTCAGCTTGTTGTAGGTGACAGCTGAAATCTGCTGGCTTGTGGCATCCACTCCAAGCATACCGGATGTTTTCATGAACGCCAGGCCCTGGCTTCTCTTACAAAGGCGTGAGGGTGAGCCATCCAGGCACTTTCCAGTACTGCAGTTCAGCACTTCCACAGGCTGACTACCGGACAGGAACCAATTCATGGCCTGGTTCGACGACTTGGCTGCCATATACTCGTCTGGCACTGGGTCGCTCTTGGCAATGTAAGGCCTCTGGAAGAAAAACGGCTTCGGTAGAGCGAGACCAGCCAGCCGACCGTACACGGCACGGTACATGTGATCATAGTTGAAGACATCACCCACGGTCACCGTTTCGAAGTAGATGGGCGAGAACAGAATGCGTGACAAGAGGCACCCCTGGATGCCCAAGCAGTTCCAGCGGGCGACCTTGTCAGAGCAGCACATTGTACGCAGTCGTTCCCCTGCTGCCAGACCATCAAGGGTCTGAATTGACGCACCACTTTCGCACAGCACGCCACCCTCACCAGCCTCGATCTTTTGACGAAGCTTGCCATGCCTATTCCGCTGCGATGTCCCTAACTGCTGGCTAGCATCAGTTCTACTGCTGCCGCCTTCGTTATTCGCAGACACGGTGAACAAGCGGGAATCTCCACATGGCGCTGAGCTAATGAACAGGTGAAATGAGACTACTGGGTTCAGAGCAAACATATCTCGGCCATTGACAGACACACGCTCAAACACGGACTCCTCGCCCGACGCTGTGCGTCGAATCTGGTCATGCACGTACATGCAGAAGGCTCGCCGCGCTAAAACCTCAGCGTGGCAATCGTTAACCGCTGTGCCATCCAAGGACAGGTTTTCACCATGTATACCCTTGGTGCCAGTGGCCAGGGAGACAACAGTTGCACTGGCTTCGGTAGCGACAGATCCACCGCGGAGCTGCACAATACCAGCCATTACTTTGAACTGGCGCTGCGCGTCGGGAAGATTATCGCGGAGTTCGATAAATTTCTGCATACAGCACCTTTGAAAACGGTTGGCAAGGACCTGGGAGTGCGAGTGTGGTGGCTCCATGCCATGTTGCAGTGGGTGCTGTGAAGCATGCCCCAGAGAAGGATCTCCGTGTGCTGGCTGCTCTTCTTGCATTGGTCCGTCGGGTATCTCAAGACCGTCCAAAGTGCTTAACGCCCGCCTGGCAGCATCACCCCGTGATAGGCGCTTGCTGGCACCTTCGCCAATAAACTCGCTGCCATCAACCACCAGGCGAGTTCGAAAGATTGGAGCATGTGGTGGCCCACTCTGCTCCAGTACTTCCCACTCAACTCCCGTCGTATGCTTATTGTTCAGTACGTACAGAGGGCTAGCACTGGGCACAATCACGGATCGCCGTCGCTTGGCCGGATTGCTAGGGGGTGCCGGTGTGCTATCATTACTTGATTCTACATGCTCACGCTTTTTGCTCACAGGAGGTGTTGCTGGAGCAGAACTACTTGCTTGTGGCCTGTGTGTGGGCACTGGTACCACAGGCTCCCCGACGACTTTCTTCATGCGAATGGTATAACCCTCTGACAATTTCCCCTCGTGAAACAAGGTGTGCAGGGCCAATTCAGCTGCATCGCGCTTTGAAGCCTGCTTGCTTCGTCCATTTCCATGGAACTCCTGCTCACCAACACTCAACACGCAGGAAAAGGTAGAGTTATGAGCAGGCCCATCTCCTTTAGTGACATCTGAGAAGGCATATGATTCGCTCTTGTTCGGGTACACTTCATTCAGACGCATCAAGGCATTGCCACTGTCAGCCCATACGCGATCCTTTTCTTTCACAGCACCAGAAGACATCCTGTCATACTAGATAAACCCTACGAATTCACAAGAAGCTAGATGACTGTACAATAGTAAGTTTACACTCGTAGACAATCTACTAAAGAGGCTAAAGTGGCAAGATAAAACTGAAAAGGCAACACAAACAATAATTATTATTTAAATAATTGTACCGACTATTTTTTGTACTTGACTGAGTTGAAAATACCGGTGTCATCGACGTGACGTCAGTATCAGGGAGTCGTAAAATACCACGGTATATATATATATTTTTTTACGACTCCCTGGCCTGCTAGCGCTGCTGGTCAGTATGAGGTCGTTGTATTATTGATGACGTCGACGATCGTCATTTTTAATTAAATTCGTAGATTCATGAACCTGATTGTGATGAAGGATTATTTGCCGAAACTATTTCTGCTATAGTCTATAGTATAGTACTACAGTCGTCCCTCTCTAATCCGTCACCTTTTGCTACGGCGTTTTGAACTTTTCTGCTGGATTAACGAGGGTGCTGGATTAAGAAATCCTGCCCTCTGACCCGGCCCTACCCAATTGCATGCATGTATCATACATCAAAACGCAGGGTTTTTCCGTGTCGACCCAAGTATTTGGTGCACGGCTTTATATTCTCAATTGTTCTCCGGGAACATACACAGTGATAAAGTGATAAAGTAAAACAGAGAACATGTTCACATGTACTCTTGCACACACACGCACACACACCTGAAAATTGGCAGGACACTACTCCTTGCTAAAATAAGAAAGTATGGCTGACTGCTTAGCCGTTGTCTACTACTACTACTAGTACGACGTTACGCAGTCATACATTCATTATGCATATGGGGCTATGTTTTGAAATACAGTCAACTTCGCTAATAACGACTGCGGATATAACGACAATTCGTGAATAACGACATAATTTTCATGCCCAGAGCAAAGTCCCATCCAACTGTGACACCTTATATTAATGAGACTTCGGGTATAACGACACTTCGCGAATAAGGACACTTTTCTGCTGCCCCGCCGAGTGTCGTTATGAGCGAAGTTGACTGTACATGTACCGGTACATGTAATAATCATTGTGAAATGAGTTCAATTACATGTATTGCAGTGTTGATGGAAGAGATCGAGAGCGCGTGAGCTCTACTCTTAACAAAAACAGATAATTATGTGTCTTTCCCTCAAACAGGATCATTATTATTATTTTTTACAGATGGCCCTTATGATTATAGCTATAAACACTGCGATTTAATTTTAAAACAAATTTTGGGTGCATACAGTATGATCGGGCGCCGTAGAACACTTCGCTGAAGAACACTTAGGCTGGAAAATGGCATAAATTTAAAGAACAATCCTGGCTAAATTTACAGATCTAAGAACACGTCTACTGCTGTAAATAAATGTGGTGTGATCGCATAGCGTGATGCCCTCCATGATCGCGGAATAAGAACAAAACGACCACAAGAAAAAATACAACTGTGGGCACCATAGCACTCCCATTGCAATACTGGATTTCAAACTCAAAGTCTGGGAGCGTCGCAAAAGTGTTTCGTCGCCCCTGAAAACGAGAACATCATTTTGCGTGTATGTGTGTCACTGTGTGGTGTCCGGGGGAGGGGGGAGAGCCAAAATCGCAAGTCAACCCACACCGTCGCGTACATGTACATGCAAGCGATTTGCGCCATCCAACATAGCAAGCTGCATTCAGCTAGCTCGGCCCTCGAGTGCGAAATGAACGATGTTCGTTTCGTTCGTTTCAGGGACAAACAATTTTTTTGCGACGTCCCTAAAAAGTATGCATTTTCACTGACACAATACAGTACAGTACTATCAGTAGCAATGGGTTGACTCGCAGACTCACAGTTCAGGTGACTTGGACGAGGTTTATGGTGTACGTGTGTATTGTGCACGCACACACGTAACGCACATACACACACACACACCTTTTGACGCCCATCACCGGAGGCGAAGATAGCGATGCTACAGCAGTAGCCATCGCAACTTGTGCTGGGATTGCAACATTCAACAGCTGGCAAGGCTGAAGAATTGACCACCACTATTCAGCTTGATCTACACCGCACAGCAGCTATGGAGTGGCTTTTTCTGGTCAGCGAATCCCTACCTTTTGGTCTTTTTTTTCTTTTTTTCCCCGCACACACATCACACCACATACATGTACTCAGGTATGCACTGGCTGTTGGTCACCACCCAGGAGAAAGAAAGAAAAGTCAGGAGGAGTCTGAGAAAGAGAAGAAAGACGCGTGTCACCATAATCGTCGGGAATGGAACCCGCAAAAACAAACACACACATACGCACACACACGCAAGTGCATCATTAGCACTCACTTCAAAGACTCAAATGGCCTCACACGAGAGTGACCGTGCGCGAGACATGCAGACGAGCGACAAGTGACTCCAACAAGGCAAATGAGGTACAGCAATGCACACGTAACATACTAGTAACATGTCAGACTGTCAGTACAATAAAATTGGAATAATTTGCTTCTCCGACAACCAAGCTAGAAATCCTCTTCTAGACTAGAGGGGTGCTGCAGACTGGCTCAGTTCAACAGAAGCCGAGAGTACAGCCGGTACAAGATATTACTTTGTCACGTGATGCTGTATTCAAATTGGCTACCCTACAAGCCGTTGACTCTTATGTCTTATCTTGACGGCGGTTCTCAGTAACTGCTTCCTGGACAATGCGGGGAACACATGTGTTGTGGTGTAACCTCTACTAATCTCTCATTGGGGAAGTCGTAGCATTCCACAGCGGCCTGCGCTCTTCTATAAACTATGGCAGCTAGCAAACCCAGCCTCTCAGACCAAGTATATGCATACTACTGTTGTGGACATTGACATCCACTGAGAAGTCAAGCGGCCACGGGGCCCTGGCCATTGTGGCCCCCGAGCACTGCTGGTCCATTTTTTGCAGTGTGTGCGTGAACAGCAGTACGTCTACATGCCAGTAAGCAATAAGGGCGCCGGCCCCGGTCGTTCCACCGGACTTCAATGTCCACAACACAATTACAACATTGATCCACTACTGGGCATACACCGGCAGTACGTGTACCCGAATAATACAGAGGACAAGCCAGCGCAGCGCACTGACACCAGAGGCTGATTTACCTAGTCCTGGCATTAGCTGAGAGCACGTGAAAACGACGCCAGCGCCTTGGCCAACCAGCATGTACCAAAGTACCTGCAGGTTGGGAGCATAGGTACAGGATACAGTGATAGGCGTGTAATAAAACCAGACACAAGATGTTCTGCGAAAACTGCGCACCCCGCCCCACCTACATTCAAGGTCTGGTTATTAGTAAATACCAAAACTACTTTTTTTCATGCAGATGGCAGAAACAACATACACTTTTAATTAAAATGAGCCCAGTCCGCTCGCAAAAGACCTCATTGCTATCGAAGAGATCACACCGACTAGCTGAACACAAAACACACATGCGCGGCGCACGCACTCGAGCACACATATTCTCTTGCATGTGCCCTCCCCAAAGGCTTACAGTTACTTGAGGTGCCTGGGCTGAATGAGATTCGCTCGCCGGTCTACGTTTGTAACCAGCAGCACATATGCTCCAGAGGTGGTGTTGCTAGTCGTGCACACGAGCAGAGCCGTCAGCCACACTGCACGACACATGGACCGACTAATCTCAGTAAAAAATGACAACAGTTCAAATGGCACGGAACAGTCATGTTTTTCTTCACACAGTGGCTAAAATGTAATAAGATTGATATGTACAGAATTTAAATGAAAATGGCGACCGAACAGCGCTGATAAGAGTCAACGCAAGAAACTAGCACGGATTGCGACCCCAGTCAGTTACAAATACAACAGCCACACAGCCACAGCCACACACACACACCATACACGCACACAGTCACACACAAACACAAATACACAGACACACACAGGACCAACAAAGAACTAAACACCTCGAGAAAGCGGAAAAGATCGGAACTCACCACCAGCGTCATTTTACGATTTTAGGAATTTTTGAAGTAAGGGAAGAAACTCAGTACCGAAAAAGGGATAGAGTTAGAATGTCTGCATGCTCTAGCAGTTCGGCGAGCTCAAAAAAAGTCAAGTGCAACATGGTACTACTGGACATGTATATGCCACGAGCACAGTGACCAGAACACATAGAATATGTACATAGTGGGGAACAAGACTCTTCTGGGGGAACTTAAAGCAGTATACTGCATCGCTGGTACTACTAGGTTCTTTGTGGGGTAAAAGCAACCAACACAAAACACGTAAAAAAGAAGAAGATTGGACCAGCCAAGAAAGGAAATCTAAGAACACATTATGTCAGGCAAAGTCTCAATTCTAAAAGATCGTTGGACAAGAAATATTTCAGTAAGCTAGTCTATGATACACGTACAAGTACACATCATGTACATACGTGCGCGGACGGGAACGCAAACACACACACACACACACATACACACACGTACGCACCCCCACACGCATAAACACCCATACCCACACACGCACCCACACCCACCCACCCACACAAGTTGAGAACAGGACGCAACTCGGCATGCACGCAAGCAGCAAGCAGCCAGTTTCACGTGTGGTCGACTTCCACGGCAAGCTGGACAACTTACATACGTTAGTAGAAGACTGTAGCGCAACTGCACAGAATGGTACAGCAGTGTCTAATTCATTGCCGACATTGCTTTTGCCTCGTCGTCTGCAACTTCTGCATCGCCATCACCTCAACGGTTGCGTAGCTCTAGCTCCTCTAGGTCACGTTCTAGGCTCGTACGTATGTCCTCCGACACCCTTAGAGACTTCTCAAGGTCATCCACTTTTTGCTGCAGGTCGACACATCTCTGAATTAACTTCTCCCTGCTGAAGTCGTCCAGCATCTCTCGACCACACGTATTGTAAACTTGGGCGAAGTCCTTTTCAAAAAAGCACGTATCAACAGCGCTAGCGCCACGGAATGTGGTAGCACATGTAGCTGATCCACTGTGTGATTGGCCTTCACCAGACGATGAATCATCAGAATCAAACTGATATCGCAGGTGATGATCCGGGCTAGCTGCGATCTGCGGGGTTTCTGTACCGTGGTCAGCAATGATAAACTGCGTACTGTTCAGGGGTGCAACGGCTCTACCCTCTTGAAAGC